AAATAGAATGCTTCAAAACCGGTTTATTACACCGGAGCTGTTGACTCGGTTACAGCTGACTTACTAGTTACTGCTACCTACTACTATTACCGAGGGTTTTTAACTTTTCCTTAATCTATGTAGTTCAGTAATTTTTCTCTTATATCGGATATGTCTATCAGTCTTTGCATGCCATTAACTTTGATTTTAGCGCTCATATGAATTTATATGATAATCAACACCGAAAAGAAAATTGTAACCTTTCGTATGCATATATAAGCATATTCAAGTAGCATATGCGTATGCTGCTTCATGTTATATATACGCTAATTCTGCAGTCCGTATATGATTTATATAGCTTTAAAATTATAAAATTATGTAAAAATATTATTTAGACCTCGGTTCGGATATGTGGGAATTTTTTTTAATGTAAATGGTTAAAAGAAGCGGTACGAGTCAAACCGAGTGATTTTCCGGTACGAATGTTGGTTCACATTGGCAAAACTAGGAACTAGGAAACCACGAGTGCCTGCCGCCGTTGGAACCACCGGAGTATAGTGCTTTGACGAATTCGAGAGGTCTCTTCACCCGCTAATGTGTTTTTGTAACTTAAGGCAGAGTACATTCTGCTGTGAGAGCAGTGTGACTTATATATAATCTTCACTTCAACATCTCTAATTAATAATGTACAAGAAAACAGTTCCAAGAAGGAAAAAAAACAAGAAAGAAAGACAATCATGCACTGCTTCAACTAATAAACCCAAATACCTCTTAAACACTAGTTGGTAATGGTTGGCTTTAATCCCTCTTTACATGAGAGATCACATACATTCAAGATATCATATCCATAAACCTTTTGTCCAATCTACCATTCGATGACATATCCATAACCATCTTTGTAGTTAAAGCATCAGCAGCGAACCTACACCTCTTCATTTCTTCGATGAGTTCAGATGAAGTGACTACATCACTACCTCGGAGATGTCCTCGGATTAGCGTGTTGTATGTACGATCATTTGGCAAATACCCATCCTTCACCATTTTTCTGAACAACATGCCCGCTTCACCCAAGAAGCCATTCTTACATAGTCCTTCAATAAGTATATTGTACGTTCTGACATCTGGCTTCACTCCTTTGAGAGGGAGGCTACAGAACAAATCCCAAGCATCAGAGATCATACTTGCGTTACACATCCCCTGAATGATGATACCATAGATACCAATACCAAGATCTATCTTATTGTTCTGCATTTTTTCAAATATTTCCAGTGCTTTATTAAGTTTTCCTGATCGAAAAAACCCTTGGATAAGAGTGCCATAAGTGATTGTATCTGCAACCACTCCTCTCATAGACATTTTGCGTAAGAGTTCCAAACCATCGTAAACCCGTTTAGCCTTACAATATCCTTTTATAAGGATATTACATGTCACGATATCAGGATCACACCCTTTGCTAACCATCCTGTCTAGCATCTGGTTGGCCTCTTCAAGACGGTTATCCTTGCAAAACCCATCTATCAAAGAAGTGTATGTAATAATATTAGGAGCTATACCTCTTGTGATCATCTCCTTGTGCAGTTCTTCGGCCTCCAAAAGTTTTCCCTCTTTCACAAAACAATCAATCAATGTGTTGAATGTGACAACGTTGGGGGTGATGTTCCTAGTGATCATATCCCTGAGCAACTTCGCACCATCATTCCATCTACCGGCGTTACAAAAGCCTCCTATGAGTGTGGTGTAGGTAATACAATCTGCTTTGATCCCTTTCATCTCCATTTCATTGAAAAAGTTAAGTGCATCGTCGAGGCTCCCATCTTTGGATAGCCTATCAATGACGATATTGTAATGGAATACATCGAGCTTGATCTTTCTTTTTTCCATCTGTTTGAATAAATCCAAGGCGAAACCAGTGTTCCCGGACTTGCATATTCTGTTTATAATTGGTGCATATGTAACTCCATTGGGTTGACAGCCAATTTCCACCATTCGATCTATCAAAACAACAGCTTCAGACACTTTACCTTTGAGACAAAGACCATTGACCAAAGTGCTAAGCGTTATGAGATTGGGTGTATGTCCCATTTCTACCATTCGATCAACTAACCCCACTGCTTCAGAAACTCTGCCCTCGAGACATAATCCGTTGAGTAGAGTTGAAAATGTGACGATGCTAGGCTCATACCCAAGTTTCAGGATCTTTCCCAAAAGAGAAAAAGCAAAACCGAGTTTTCGGCGTCGGCAGAAGCAATTGATCATAATACTCAAAGTGTAGATGTTATGAGCAATCCCATTCAATTCCATTTGCTTGGAGAGCTGTAACACAAGATCGAACTGTTTTGTTCTGGCAACACCACTAAACAATCTACTGAAATCAATGACACTGGGAAGAGGACGAGACCGAAGCATGGATTGGAAGAGAGTAACAGCATCTTCTGCCTTAATATCTACAAGCCCACTTCTCAATCTTTCTTCATAAGACATTTTACCATCACTGAGAACAGAGAAGGCGCAAGAGAAGAACTCGTTTTGGGATATGAGATAAACAAGTTCTCGAAGTACCTGACTTAGGAAAACGAGGCCGAACCAGTCTGAAAGTGAAAGCTTTCCGATTTAGAGGAATCAATCTCCTCTGTGTCATCAACAACGCCATTTCTTCTTCAGATGAACCATTCGTTCCTTCTTCTCAGGGCACAAATTTGTCTTCTTCTCTGTGTAGATTCATCATTCATATGATATGTGCTTTTTTGCTTTTGATTTTAGTCGGGAAGGAGACAAAAGAAGTTCCGGTTTGATTGTCTTATTTCTTAACCGGTTCTTTTACATGTATTTCAATTTTCACGTGATCTATTTTATATATTTGTTGGTTCTATATGAAAACGATGCCGTTTGGACCAGTCTTCAACATCCAACGATATTACAAATTTGTTAATGTTGGACCATACCAGTACACCATCACGAATACTATGGTTTTTTTTTTTTTTTTTGTAAACCCACGTATACTATGGTTTATATTTCAAAGTTTAGTTGTGATAATTGGATAAGTATGAAAAAGAAACCTTCTAATTAAGCAGGAGTATTTGACACGATGGATTTTTATACAGTATGTACGCGTATATAATCATGTCGCCAAATCCAAAGTAATAACACAACAGAGAACCCAATGATTTTTTTTAACTAATAGACAGAACTGAGATATGTCCTAAAGGATAAATACGACAATGTTCACCTACATCATAAGAAGAAGCTTATATACACCTTTAGAGCACCTCTTTCAATCCCAACATTGCTCAAGAACCACGGATTGTTAACATATACCCTTCTGTTGTGGCTTTCAATGAAAGAGAAACTTCTGTTGTGAGTTTGCTTTCATGGCTGCAGTATTCCAACAGTTGACGTGCTTAAATAATATGGACTGGACTTACTTGATATCTGAAAACAGAACAAATCATAGCAACACAAGAAGATTGATATTTCAATGCTCTCCCATTCCAGTCCACAAAGGATTTTTTTTAGCACGTATATATAAAATCAAACATTCACGAAAGCATATCCAAAAAGCTTTTGTTCAATCTACCATCCGATAACATATCCATAACCATCTTTATAGTCGAAGCATCAGCAGCGAACCCGCTCCTCTTCATTTCTTCGATGAGTTCAGCTGACGTGATTCTGTCACTACCTCGGAGATGTGCTCGGATTAGAGTGTTGTATGTACAATCATCCGGCGCATGCCCATCCTCTTCCATTTTTCTAACCAATTTATTTGCTTCAGAGAGTGACCCCTTCTTACATAGTCCTCCAATCATTATGTTGTATGTCTTAACATCGGGCTTCACTCCTCTACGAGATAGACTACAGAATAAATCCCAAGCATAATCTACCTTACGATCATTGAACATCCCGTGAATGATGATGTTATAGATACCAATATCAAGGTCCATCTTACTCTTCTGTATTTTTTCAAAAAGTTCCAGTGCTTTTTCTAGCTCCCCATTGTCGCACAACCCATACAGCAAAATTTTGTAAGTCACGATATTAGGAGGAACACGATGAGAAACCATCTCCTGGAAGAGTTCTTTGGCAACCTCAAGTTTTCCCGATTGACAAAATCCTTGGATAAGACTGCTATAAGTGAATGTATTTGCAACCACTCCTCTCATAGACATTGTGCGGAAGATTTCAAAACCATCGTCGACCCGCTTAGCCTTACAATATCCATTTATGATGATATTAAACGTCACAATATCAGGATCACACTCTTTGCTAACCATCAGATCCAGCATCTGGTTTGCCTCGTCTAGGCGGTTCTCCTTGCAAAACCCATCTATCAAAGAATTATATGTAATAGTATCAGGAGATATACCTCTTTTGATCATCTCCTTGTACAATTCTTTGGCCTCTGGAAGCTTCCCTTCTTTCACAAAACTATCAATCAATGCATTAAATGTGAAAATGTCTGGGGTAATTTTCCTTGTGATCATATCCCTCATCAACTTCGCACCATCATCCCATCTACCAGCATTACAAAAGCCTCTGACGAGAGTGTTGTAGGTTACTACATTTGCTTTAATCCCTTTCATCTCCATTTCATTGAAAAGTTTGAGTGCATCGTCGAGGTTCTCGTCTTTGCAAAGACCATCGATGATGATATTGTATTTGGCTGCATTGCGCTTGATATTTCTTTCTTCCATCTTTCTGAGCAACTCAATGGCCAAGGCAGTTTTGCCGGACTTGCACAATACATTTAAAACCGGTCCATAGGTAACTCCATCGGGTTTACAACCATTTTCAACCATTTGATCTATCAAAACAATAGCTTCAGACACTTTACCTTTGAGACAAAGTCCATTGACCAGAGTGTTAAGCGTTATGAGATTGGGTGTATGTCCCATTTCTACCATTCGATCAACAAATCCCACAGCTTCAGAAACTCGTCCCTCGAGACATAATCCGTTAATCAAAGTTGAAAATGTGACAATGTTAGGCTCATACCCGAGTTTGAAGATCTTTCCCAAAACAGAAAAACCGTAACAGAGTTTACGAAGTCGACAGAAACAATTAATCACAATACTCAGAGTGTAGAGGTTATGCGAAATCCCATCCAATTCCATTTGTTTACAAAGATGTAACACGAGATCGAACTGTTTTGTTCTGGCAACACCACTAAACAATCTACTGAAATCAATGACACTGGGAAGAGGACGAGACCGAAGCATGTCTTGGAAGAGATCAACAGCATCATCAGCCTTAATATCAGCAATCCCACATCTCAATCTTTCTCTATAAGAGAGTTTATTATCACTGACACTAGAAAAGACTCGTCCACAGCAAGACAAGAAAAACGGAGTTCTTGGAGTACCTGTCTCTAGAAGAAGACGCTTCTGAACCAATCGAACCATCACCCAATTTAGAGTTTTGAAAACTAGAGTCGCGTCTTCGATTTTGTGCTTAATTGCTTGTTCGGCTTTCAAAGGCACCAACTTCACACACAAACAGCAAAAAAGGTTTAAGCTTTAATAACGATGCTTTAGTGTACCTTTAAAACTGGTGCTCTCTGCAATGAAAGTGAAAACTGAAAACGTTCCAAATCGCATTAGTCTTAAAAGCTAGAGCACCAGAAAATGAAATCCAAACACGTAAAAGAAGAAGAAGAAGAAGGACGCGATGGGAAAAAATAAAATCTTCAGATACGAGAATGCCGCAAAAACCGGTTAATTGCACCGTCCTGGATAAAACCGGTTGTCTCTAACCTTCTGTTTCAATCGGAATTGTTGACTCGGTTACAAAGACTAATTTTGTCATTAGCCTTATGATTTGGTTTGGTTATTACTTATTAGGATTGATTGGCCTAATTCCATTATTTAAAACAGTTTTAATTATTGACTTTTATTTGGACTAATGCTAAACCTAGCTAAAAGAAATTTATTTGGTTGCGGTGCCTGTGGAAGCCGAACAAGAGAATAATAAAATAGTGTTCATAGTTAACGAATTTGACTACACCAAATTGATGAGTAAATCAAACAATTAACCATAAAATTACATTACAAAGAAAAAAACACAATAGACATTTGTTGGAAGCAAACTAAATTTGCTTAGGATATTAGAGAAAAGACACTAAAAACAATGAGCTATTTTTGCCTAATTGCATCTAAATTAAACTAAATTTGCTTAAGTTATTAGAGAAAAGACACTAAAAACAGTGAGCTATTTTTGCCTAATTTCATCTAAATTACGGACAGTGTATATCTAACGTCACATAAACTTCCGATATTGTTGATCATATAACGCTTCTGTTCCCAAGTATAAAAGTGAAAGACTCTGTTGTCTTTGACATTTGGTTCCAAAGAAGCATCATACTATACTACTACTGAGAGGGGTTTCTAACTTCCTTGCAAAGCCAATATATTCGTCTAAGACCCGTTGAACATGTATCCTAATTTCACACTCTCTTTCCGGTACGTGGTTTAGCAGTTAATTATCATGTCCCTAGAGTTGGAATATGCATATATATATATCTGTTTTTCACCGCGATGTTATAGTTGATTATAAAATCAATGTATCATTATAAGAACAATATATATGATATATGTATAAAAGGTTTTCTTAATTTATGTAGTTCAGTCATTTTTCTCTTATATATCGGATATGTTTATGCATGCCATTAACTTTGTTTCTGGCGTTCATATAAATCTATTTTACAAAATTACACCGCAAAGAAAATTGAACCTTTTATATGCATATTCAATTAGCATATGCTATTATATAGACGTATATATATGCTAAGTCGCTAATTGTGCAGTCCATATATATGATATATATAGCTTAAAATTAAAAGTATGTTTCATATTTTTCAAAATATATATAAGATTATGCTTCATACTGATTACATAGCTTAAATATTTACGAGCTAGCTAGTAAGTTACTAAACAAGATAATTTATTCCCCCAAAAATAACTAATATATACGATATGTTACATACAGTATACCTATTGTATTTTTTTTCTCACTTATTATTTACAAGAATAACCCCAACCAAAAGCCAACACACTTTCGACAACCCCAAGTGAGAAAGTGAAAGAGAATAACAACTGTGCCTTCAGAAAATATTAGTGAAATAACCCTTTCATGATTCATCTCACATCATATTTTAACAATATTAGTCTCTCACTAAACCCTAGCTAACTAATTCAATTTATAATCCATCTTTACATATATATACTGTTTACTTTTCGATTCTATATATATGATATGATATGTGGCTGATGGTCACCACTCAACTCACAAATCCTACCTAATGGCCATCTTAACCCAAAACTTCTTCATCTTCTTTAATTAATCTGCCACCTTCGCACGTGTGAAAAAAAGTAAGTCCTCTTAGCTACGTGTGAAACCTTTTTATCTCGTTTGCTAGCTACTATACACTACCAAATAGTACGAACAACTCAATGTCTTCTGCCGGCTTAGCAAGCCGGAAAAAGGATCCGGTGTACAGAGGAATCAGGTGCCGAAGTGGGAAATGGGTTTCCGAGATTCGTGAGCCGAGGAAAACCACTAGAATCTGGCTTGGAACTTATCCCACGGCAGAGATGGCAGCCGCGGCCTACGACGTGGCTGCTATGGCTCTTAAAGGAAGAGAAGCCGTCTTGAACTTCCCGGAATCAGCCATGTCATACCCGGTTCCCGTATCAACATCTGCAGCGGATATACGAACCGCTGCGGCCGCTGCAGCATCAGTGAAGGGATGTACTGAGTACGGGGAGGAGGTGGAGAAAGAGTCAAAGAAGAAGAAGAAGAAGAAGACTAGTAGTAGTAGCTTGAAGTCGAGAGCGAGTGAATGCCACGTAGATAATGATGTGGCGTCTTCGTCGTGGTGTGGGACAGAGTTTATGGACGAAGACGAAGTCTTGAATATGCCTAACTTGCTGGCTAATATGGCGGAAGGGATGATGCTTGCACCACCGTCGTGGATGGATTCTCGGCCGTCCGATGACTCTCCGGAGAATTCAAATGATGAGGACTTGTGGGGCTATTGACCTGTTTTGTGTTGTCCACTTATTATATATGTAATCATATATATTGTTCTTTTATTTGTTTTTTTCTCATCATATCACTTATATGATGATAATATCAAATCATATGTTTTAATTATTTAAGGGTGTTTCTTGTATTGTTGAATTAGGGTTTGGGTTTTTCTGGAGTTTTAGGGTTATCTATTAGGGATTCATGATCAAGCCTTGTAGTTGATTTCTATATTACTCTTGCAGCTTCTTTATATTTGCACTTTCTTTGTTAAGAATAGTTCATGTTCTTAATTAAGTTTGTTTTTCGTTCCATAATATATATGAAGATGAGATTATGATCTGATACCTAGAGCCACTCGTTATTACATGGTTTACTACAAAAGTCTTTATTGACACATAAAAACATAAAAAGGGGGTTTTGAAATTAACAGTTAACAATTTGGCAAAGTTTTCCTGTTTGTCAATTAAAGAAGATCCAGTAATTAGTTAATATGATGAGTAAATATGATGTTTTTTGGATTTTCTCTTCTTTGATGAGAAGATTAATCATTTTATTGACGACGAGTCCACATTGTATCATTTCGGTGTGATTCTCCCAAAACTGACCGGATCAGCCGATCGGGTTTATCAAAAAAAAAAAAAAAGATTAATCATTTTTAATTAATATACTCCATAATCAAGTGTTTTGACTTTCTATATATCAATTCTTTACTATAAAGCATTGTTTTCTACATATACACACCATATCTATCTATCTATATATTAATTCGTCACATGTTCGTTCCTATTGCTAAGATATATATTCGGTAATCCATACAGCGATCTATATATATGCCACTTAATTCGTCTCGTAATGTATATATGTTATAATATGATTCCAAAAATCGATTGATTGATGCTTATTTACACAACGATACATGTATTATATTCATCTAGTGTCCCTTTTAAAAAGTTTTGATGTCCTGAGTTTCCTTTTTTAGATATGTTTTTTGTTATAAAGGTTGTGCCATATATGTATGGACATGAGTGCTGTTTTCTTACTTGGTCCTTTTTTGTCGTCTTCTTTCTTTGATTTTTTTTTTCCTTTGGTAATAATATAAAACTATGTTTTTATCTCTTTATCTTGTGACAATAACGAGTGATAAGTTTTGTATCAAAATCTTGGTCTTTAACCACATACTCCTTATGGTTTACAATTAAATGTCACAAATACAAAAAAAAAAATTGAACATTTTGTTGTACGTACTTCGTAAATTTTACTTAATAACATTATGTTGTGTTTACACGAATTACTTCACATGACTTATTGAAAATTTTGCATTAATATTATAATTCAGGATTTAACGCAAACTGGTGCAAATGGTATTAACACAAAGAAACATATTTACCCTCACACCAAAACAAAAAGAAACAAATTTACCAAAACTATTTTACCTGTAACGGACAAAGAGGGGTTAATTAGAGAGGTGACCATGTGGCTTTTCTTTAATCATATCCGTCACTAAGTTTTATAGAGAGAGGCAGAAAGCTTTAGCTTTACAACTTTATAATATTCTATCAAGAAATAATACAATATATATAGTAGTATTGTTATGAAATTTTTAATGGGTTTCTATTCTTCACAAATGGTAAAGGTATGGGTCAGACCAAAGAAATTTGCCTTTTGTTTAAAAATAATTATTAATAAGAAAACATTTTCCTCTTATTTATTTTTGCCAACTAGGTTTGTCTCTTCCGACTAAAAAACATCTGCATTGTGTGTGTGTGTGTTTTTTTTTTAATTCTTTCGACAGCTCTTTACCACGTGTCACTATCTTCTCGGATTTCCTTGACCTAAATCCTTTATTTTGTTTTGTTTATATCAAACTGTCTTTTGTGGCTACAACAAATATCTTCGATCGGTGTCTTAAGTACCATATACAAACTATAAAACATGTATCAAGCTGGAAAAAAAAAACCCAACACATTTCTTCAGATATACCTACGATTGACGAGATGTCGACATAACTACAAACAACTACGTCCTGGTTATTGGCGTTTAGGCTTCAGAGTTTCACATGGCTCGATCGTGTTAGTAATATTGGATTGGTGTAGAAGATGACATTTCAGGACGTAACGTTCGTCCGCTCGTGTTTAGTGGCTTTCTATCAACATCTATCAATTCATACCAAATTGTGGATTCCATATTTGTCCTATAAAATATTGGGTTGTTATATTAAAAATTTTGAAAGATTTGTAGTATAATTACTATGTTATCTTGTACATATTAATCATTTCTCAGTTTCGTATGATAGTAATTAGTGAAAACTATATATCATAAAATGAAATTTTGGTTATCTCTTATGCCTTATGTAACCTAAGTTTTCTTTCGTTACTGAGCTCTTCTTGTAATGTTTTTCTCTTTTGTGTTCCAATTTAAAACAACACACTGTCATTTTGAAGCAAGTAAAGATTATTTGATATCAATATATATATATAGCCATATAGGTTAAAAATTTGATACATGTATCAAATTTACTCGTGAAAATTTGCAGTTAAGATCAACAGCCTAATCAAAACCAGTTATTTTATCCGTTAATGTTTGTTTTTCTTTATTTAACCAGCTGTTGATTTATATCGAACAATATATACAGTATTAAGATTGGTTTCGGACAGATCTTTAAATTCGCTTTGATGAGATAGTGGTCCACAGCAGATTTGTCTCCCTACGTGTTTTTAATGACACCCTTCCCTCTTTGGTATGTTTACTCACACTCACACACTCACACAATCATTAATCATTCTTTTAATCTTAATTAATTCCCATTAATGGCTGTTTTGTTATGATCATTATACAATTAAGTATAATACACCACTACTCTCACTTTAGCAGAAATACTTTTCTTTTGATAATTGGAGTGAGTTAATTAGCAATTGTATGATTTTTATTTTTGAAAGCTTGTTCTGTATATAGTACTTTTGATTCCAATCGTTCGGCACTAACTACACTTTGTTCGGTTATAGGTTTACTACAAATCATGTGTTCTTTCTTTTGGTGTGCAACATAATGTGTTGTAATGTCATCATTCGAAATTTCGAATCATAGCTAGTAAAGGCTAGTGGTTGATGGGAGAGAAGCACACAGCAACATTTGTTTGGGGACTTGGGTGTGATTTTTTGTTTCCGTCAAGATTTAGAGACAAGTATATAATAATGGTTTCCTTCGTCGTTGGGTAAACCCTGAATCGAACCTAAGAATGACTGGACAGCTATCCATGTGGAGAACACTGGACGATAAATAAAGTCGCCACTGATTTAGAATTTGTAGTTAAGAAATTTATATTTTTAACACTTTAAAAAACATATTTAAGAAAAGTGCATTCTACTCACTGTAGTTTGATCAATCATGGGCTTCTACATCCTATTTTTTTCAGTTGTCATTATTTCGTATTTCAACATGTACATCTGTAATTTTCTTTTCGTGTTTTTTTCTCTTTCAAAAATTATATATAATAATATTGTCTCCAAAGTGTGAATTGTTATGAAAATATAACTGATTAAAATATTTTACAATCCATTATGAACTTTTAGATATTTACCTGAAATATTGGTTTAATAATCCTGATTGGCAACTTGTTAAAGAAAAACTGAAAGATTACATTTTGCCGACAAAGTAGAAATATATAACTACGACATTAGTAACATGGAGTTTGGATATAAACACAGTTTCTTTCATCCACTAATTTAAATCAAATGTCTTTGATACTAAATTGTACAAAAAAAAATATAGATAAGAGTTTTGCAATTGGAAGACCAGAAAGGTCCAAAACGATAGCTATTGCTCTTTCAAGCTTATATCATCTTGAAAGAAAATACTAAGTACAATATTTGCTTAGAAAGCTGCCGTCTTGTGTACGTTAAATAAGTACCTTATATAAACATTTTCTTTCAACCGTCTTCTGCTTTATTTTTGGGCGTCTTTTAATGGAAAAAAAAGCTGCCGTCAATTGAGAAAAATTATTTTGCAAACTCTTGTGATTTGTTTTGTTAGTGGGGGACTTTGGTGAATTAAGTAATATTCCTTTATTTACTACAACGTAAAGAAAAAGGAACAAAAAAAACATCAAAAGTTCAAAACGTAAACAATACTTTTTCACATTTGTAATTTACAATTACATATTTATATTTATTGTATAATCTATTTGCAAATAAAAAAAAATAATCGGTATTAAAAAATCAGAGAAAACAAGAACCGTATCGGTTTATGGTAATGATGATACTGATGATGATGAAGAAGAAGCAGCTGGCAAGCGCGGGAAACCTACTTACCGTTAAGACTTAAGAGAGAAAGAAGAAGACAGAGTGAGAACGGTTTATTCTACTTTGCGTGGTTTCGGTCTGGAGGGTTTTGTAGGAACAACGTAACTGAGGAGAATCAATCCAACAGGTAGGATTGTTCCAATGTAATATACGCTCCCATAGGCTGTGAGTGTTTCGTGCAAGCTTAACACCTGATCAGATATTGCAATTAACAAAACAATGGTTTTTTTTTGTTTTTTAACGTTCAAAAGGGCGTTAAAGAGTGATAGATCAATGTGAAGGGAGAGAAATGAGTTTGTAATTACCATGAAACCGACGGCTGAGTAGTTGAGAACCAAAACGGTGTAAAGGAAGTTTATGAAGACCATGACTTTTCTCAGCATTGCCATTTTCAGACTGATGGCTTGTTGCCACCGGTAAATAACTGCAACGAAAACAGAGTTAGATCAACAAGAAGATAAGATGCCGTTAGCAAAAGAGTGGAACAATGAAAATTGTATTTCACCCCGTGAGCCGGCAATCATCAGAGCTGACTGAACAAAGAACATCATGTAACCAGGATAGAGTCCCTGCAAATTGCATCGGATGCAGTTAGTTAGTTTCCTATGGGGGAAAATATCAGATTTTTATATTCATCCATCATTGGAAGCAACTGAAAACAGACTAACTACAAGATATGTAGGACTTTCCAGCTTAGAATTGAATAGATGAAGAATAAAGAACTCACATGCCAAACCGCACTGACAGTTTGTGTAGCTAGTAACTGGAAGAAACCCGCTTTCTTCCCATTCTGCACAAGTCTCTCATACACATCTGCATTGTAAACACCATGTATAAGTGGATAGTCTCTTACAATGACTAAGTTCACAGAAACAATCGTCTATCATCAGAAGACTACTTACAGTGACGGAGCCAAGTGCTAACTTGTATGTTCCATACTAGCGGAATCTGAACGGCACTCTTAGCTAGTTCCACACCGAGGATGTCTACATTCTTGGCACGGTCCCATTTGGGCTTTGGTGAAGCATCATCAGTCCAGCCACTGAAACCCAAACCAGAGATGATAATTGAAGCCTCTGATATTGACCAGATGAAGTAGTACTTCCAACGAGCAGTAAACCCCGCCATGTACTGGTAACTAAATTTTCTCAAGAATCCCCATTCTTGGTACACGGGTTCAGTGAACCGAGTTAACGGGTATTGAGGTACTAAATAGAGATACAGAGCCATGCAGATCGCAGCTTGCAAAATAGCTCTGATTGTAGCTCCAAAAGGTGAAGGCTGCTTTCTTTTATCTGAAGTATCCCAAATCTGGAAAGTACCAAAGTTTACAAATTTACAGCCTAGTCTATAACAAGTCACTGTTTTATTGATAAAAAGTTAAACACAAAGAAGAAGAAGAAGAAGCTTACCCCTTTCCCTTCAGTCCATTCGAGATAATCTTTCATTTCATAAACGGGACCAGCAAAATGGCTACCGCAACAGAGGCAGTAACCAAAATACTCAATCAAAGAAGGCATCTGAATCAATCGGTTTTTCTTCTGAGCTTCACTTAGACCCTCCTCCTTCAACATCCCATCATTGTAATTCATCGCACAAGAGATAACTTTCAACGTTAACACCATTAACGCGCCTAATACATTCCAAAAAAGAAGAACCAGTTCAAGAAGCTAACTACAATTACTACTCAGACCAAATTCCATCACTAAGTCGTAAAAACAAGAGCATCCAAAGCAAAAGGACGAAACTTTCATCTCAATCACTTTCAGAAACATAAACCCATTTACGAGAATGTAACAAAGGGATTAATAAAAATTCACCAACTACTTCATCAGTGAAATAAGATGAGGAGATTAAGAGTTACCAGTAGAGTCGATTCCTCCTTCTTTCCAAGCATCACCACTCATGTAAAACACATGACTACACAAATCACCAAATTTGCACCATAATTAAATCAGGCTTTTGTTCAAAATTCAGCATTGGTTCAGAGCATAAGAACAAAAAGAGTTGAGATTTCTAGTACCAGCCAATAAGATAAGCGAAACCGAGGAAGAAAGTGATGATTCCACACTTGGGTCTATAAATCGCCATTGAAGCATAACCGATCGTCATCGGAACAAGGAAGTGGAGGTTGGAGGAGAATCCAAACGAGAGGTAAGAGAGTAAAGCACCTGAAGCAGCAGCATACAAGTGTTTACCGAGTCTACTCGGAACGATTCGCCAAGCGAAGGATACAGGGATCGTGGCCACGAAACAGAGGAGGAAACGGAGGACGGCGACCGAAACTCCGATCGAAGCAGCCATGGAACTCATATCCATCAACTCCATGGTTTTAACTCGGACTGAGTCACAACGTTCCGAGTTTATCCGGGAAGCGGAAGAGAAACTCTGATCTCGCCGAGGCTATGGATCGGTCGTGTCGTGTCGTGAGGTTGTTCGCTTCTTAACGAAAGGTATCAAATTCACTAATAATAAACCGGTCGGTACAATTTTAAACCCAATGAAATTGAAAACCATCGGTTTAATATAAAAACCCTAATTTCCTTTTTTTTTCTCATCTTACGGTCTCTCGTTAACACTTCTATCATCGTCGTCCTCTTTAGCCGTCGTTTGCTTGATTCTTCAGGTTCCTCTGTTCGAGTAAGTTTTATAGTTTTTGGTGTTCATACTCTGTTTCGATTTCTGTATGTAACTCTGTTTATGATTGAAAGTTTTATCTTTGCATCTTTCTAGTTTCAATGTTCGTATTGATGTTAAGGAACTAGATGTGTAATACGATTTTGTTTCTGTGTTGTGGGTTCAGTTTGTTTCTTAGGGAATGCTAAAAAGTCGTGCTCTTTATTGATTAGGTTCACGTTTAGTAAACATGAAGGGAGCTGGTAAGTCTGAAGCGAGCTCGAGTAGGATAGTTTTTGAGGACAGTGAAGAAGACCTCTCGTGTTCATCTGTGTCTTCTTCAGATGAGGTTAGTGAACTTAATAAGAGTATTGGATGAAACTTTAAGACGTTCTTGTTTGTTGATTTTGAATTTTGAGTTATATCTTTTGTTTTGAATGGGGACTTAGGAAGAAGAAACAGAGAAAGAGTTAACATTTGAGGAAATTCATAGATTGCGAGCTGATGGGTCTAAGGCAGTTGCCAGGAAACCTAATCAAGTGAAGAAAACGGGTCGTGCAAACAAAAACAGGTACGTACATTGTTTCCTTTGTTCTTGTTTTTTTCTTTCTCTTTGTCTTTGTTGGTTATATTTTTGTTAATCTTGGGTGTTTCATTTGTGATGTAAAGACCAGTGGAGTTGAGTTCTAAAAAACCTGTGAGTCGTTATAGAGAAGTAGTTCATGTTCCAAAGAAGGTAATAACTTTGAGCGTGGAGAAGTTTTTGAATCTCTTTTTCTCGTTATTTCATTCTCTACAAGTGTTTGATCTTGGGGGTGTAGAATTGTTGAGTGTTTGTTAAAGGAGTTTCTTTGTTTGCATTCAGGAGCCTCGCGATCCTCGCTTTGTTTCGTTGGGTGGACAAGTTGACCTTGAGGGGTATCTTTTCTCTTATCAACATGAAAATTAGTTATCATATGCTTGTTGTTCTTGTTTGAGTGAACATAAGTTCTGTATCTTTTGTAGGTTCAAGAAGCGATACAATTTCTTCTTTGAGGATAAACTTCCTGTAGAAAGAGAGGTATTTTGATTGATTGACTTGTTATTGCTGAAAGAAGCTCTTGCAATTATCTGCGAGGTTCTGATATTTCATACGGAAGCTTTTTGTTTGATATTCCGGGGTTCTTAAAACAGGAATTGAAAAAGCAGTTAAAGAAAGCAAAGAATCCAGAAGAGGTCAACCGATTGAAGAATGAGTTAACTTATGTTGTGAGTGATCCTTTCTTTGCCTTCCCTGTTATCTAAAGTCTGTTAAAACTTTCTGATCATTACTTTGTTTCCTCACTTTTTTTTGTCTGTTGTATATCTCAGGAGAAGATGTTGAAATATGAACCATCAACGAAGAACAAGGGAGCAGCAATACTAACAGAACACAAGAAGAGAGAACGAGAAGCTGCAAAAGAAGGGAAAAAGCCTTACTATCTCAAAAAATGTATGTCCGGATTTTTTCACTCAAAAAGTCCCATGATTAGGTTGAACATAATAGTTTTGAGTTTCTATTTGCCAACAGTTTACTGAATTGTTTTCTTTCTTCTTTTGCAGCGGAAATCCGAAAGCAAGCTCTCATCGAAAAGTACAACACTCTCAAGGTATGTAGAACAGTTTTGACTTCAGAGTTTTAAAGCATTCGTATTAAAACGGGATCACTGAATCAGTTTTTGCTTTTGGTACAATCCAGGAATCTGGGAAGCTTACATCGTATCTTGACAAACGGAGGAAGAAGAATGCAACTAAGGATCATAGGTTCATGCCCTACCGTCGAACAGAGGAATAGAGGCAGTTTTGCTTTCAGACCGATCTCTTACAACAGCCCAGGACAATTTTGGTTGTGGTCTTTGCAATGACTTTATGCTTGAGAATTCAAAGACAAATGCAGTATCACCTTTTGTTTTGTTTATTTTTTGAATTGAATTCCAAATCCAGTACCAGTACAAAGGCCTCTTAGTTTACTGTTGGTTCTGTGAAGACACGAGACTCTAGACCTTTCAAAAGGTTCAAATCTGATTTACTCTTCTTGTGGTACTTTATTTCCCTCAATTATGATAGTCACCATAGAGTTTTAGTATGTACATCGAATACTTTTTTTAAACTAGCACATCCTATATTATTCAAAAATGAATTGAAAAAAAAAAAAAATCTAATGAAAGTTAAAGTTACTGATGGTGATGTGAATGAAAAAGCTATTTCAAAAAACTCTTTTATTATAAACAATGTTGAGAATTTGGATTAAGGGATTTTAATAGATTTTCTTAGTTGACAATATAGAAATCTGAAAAATCTCATGGTTTTAAATGTGTGATTTGGAAGAATTTTATAATACAGAGCTTCCAAAATCATAATAAAACTCAAATCTCTTAAAATATATGATGAAAAATACACTTCCTTTAGTTACCAAGTTCTCACTGTCACAAATAATTTCTTGCTGATTATGAAAATGTTTAAATGTAACAAAAAATTACACAATCCCATATAAATAAACCTTAGTGATACAAAAACAAACAATCACAATTAACAAACACTTTCCATCAAAAGTATTTGAAATATTCTCCGGACAAAAAAGGAAAGAAAATGGAGAACAAGAGAAGGGTTATGTTAGTGGTGATGATGTTGGTGATGGGGAACATGTTGATTGAGACAGAGGCTGCAATGTCTTTTAAAGTATGTTACGGAGGCTGTCTTCTTGCGTGTGGTATTTTAGCGCCCAATATCAAAAAACTCTTCTGTCCTTTTATGTGTATTAAGGATTGTAGACGTCGTCCACTTTCTATTGAGGCAAATCTCAAAGAAATGAACCAGGCTGATTATTTCTGTAACCTCGGTTGTGCTACTGATCGTTGTGGTTCATCCTCCTCAATCGAAGATAAGGGTAAGCTTTTTTTTTATTTTTTCTTTCTTTTTTCACTTCTTGTATAAAGATAAATCATATACATATACAGTTTAATCTTCTCTTGTGACTCTAATTAAGGATATTTTGTGAAATTCTTATGAGTTGTTTTGTTTTATATATTTGGCAGATCATGTGGACAAAGTATCAGTATGCGTGGATTCATGTTCAGATATGTGCTCCCACAAGAACTAATTAAAGCCGTTATTTTAGTGTCTAAGAGATTTATAAACCAGTAATTTACGTAACGATTAAATATATTCTCCAAAATCCAAATGAGATTTTTTTTTTTTTTTTCCTGAGTTGATCATATATGCTTTGTGTTATGAGCATGCCGATTAATAAAATAATCCACATCCAAAATAAAGAGACTTTAAATAACTAAGAAAAGGATTTTTTAATAATAAGAATTATGTGTACAATTGACCAACGTCTATTTCATGCATGCATTTGATTGTTGTGTTCAACAAATATACGATCGCACATTTATTTAATACACACATAAAAATAAATAAAAAGTAAAACACATTCATATACGTACAAATATGTACTGTACATACTAACATATATGCTTTAATTAACGTATACTCGATCATCATTATTGTAGAGAGATCTCCAAATCCTAAACGAAAGGAATTTAGAAATGATTTCCCACAATGTCGTCATATTACACAGAGATTACAGCCTAATTTCTGGCTCACTAACTATATATGGAAATGTTTACTAATACACAGAATCACACAATCACTATATAAACAGACCATGTTAGCGTACAATCACATCATTCACAACTTACAAAACCAACTCTTGCTTTAGTACAAAATTGTATCATCTAGTGAGAAAAGAAATGGAGGGGAAAAGAGTGGCAATGTTGGTGGTAGTAACGATAGTGATGTTCATAGGGAACCTTATGGCTCAAACAGAGGATCAAAAGATCCCATTTGAACAATGTTATCCAGCTTGTCTTATAGAGTGTAAAGCTGAGTCAAAGTTTCCAAAGTATTTTAAGTGTCCATTCACGTGTATTAAAACCTGTCTTCAACAACCTTCTCTACCGTCTGTTTCCTTAAACAAAATCGATGATTCTGATTACTTCTGCAAACTCGGTTGTGCAACTCACAATTGTGTTTCTCTTTCTTCCCTCCAAAATCCGAGTAAGTTTCTTTTTTTTACTGCTTATATACTTTTTATACCGTGTAATTTGTTTTCTTCTGCTTATTCTTCAAAACGATGACCATATATATACATAGTTGAGATTTGATATTGTGTATTTTAGTTAACGTTATGTTTAATGGTTTTGGTTGGTGTTTGTTTGTGTTATGGACAGATGTGGAAAAAATATCAGCTTGTGTGGACTCATGCTCAAACAAGTGTACCAAGAAAAACTAGAAGCGATATTAGTATTATTCTACGATCATTCATGTCTAGATAAAAAGATATGAACCATTTTTTTGTATCAATTCAATTTTTAAAATCAAACGAAATTTATTTCAATTCAGTATATCTTGTGTTACAAGAAAATCAAATGATATCACTGGAAAACCAAAGCTGAATTAGAGGAAAAATCAATTGATACAAACTGGAAAACAAAGGATTAATTAGAGGAAAAATCAGTTGATATAAGAGGAAAACAAAGGCCAAATTAATTGGAGGAGATATTATTTAGTATTCACAATTGAGGAAATAAGAACAAAGTTATAAACATCAAATCTAATGACACATAGAAGCAATAATACTCATTTAATTTATATAGAATATTATACCAAAAAAAAAATTAGAAGAATGAAAGAATAATAGTCTAATTTATTTAGAAAAATTAGAATGTCACAAATTATATACCTTTTTATTAATAAAAAAATTACTAAATTGAATGAATTTGTATATATCTTAAAACAGATTTACTTATTGGATTAGTAGTAATTAAAACACTAAAACTTATCATCAATTAATATTAGATATATTCAGATTTTAAATGAACAAACAATTACCCGGTTTTTTTTTTTTTTTTTTTTGGTAAGGCCCATGGTTTTATTAATAGCACTAAAGTTATAGCTTAATCTGTTATTATATGTGAATATGTTAACTAATGCAGAAATTTGCATTATGCCTATATAAACTAACCATGTTAACACAACCAAACATTCCCAATTAACAAACAACCAAATCTACAAAAAAAAAAAAGCTTTGAATCCTTCTTCTCCCTTGATTTTAAAGAAAAAAATGGAGGGCAAAGGAGTAGTTGCGATGTTAGTGGCGATGATGATGGTGATGGGAAACCTTCTTCCTCAAGCAGAAGCTCAGTCAACATCGTTCAGGCAATGTCTCACACCTTGTCTTCTACACTGTGGGAACGATTTATCGTTCCAACATATAATCACTTGTCCTTATGACTGTTTCCAAACATGTCTTGATCCTACTACGCCATCGCCACCGCCGTCTCCTTCTCCAAAGTCGGACAACAATTAGCGATATTTCTTTATTAACTAAGCTTAATGTTTCAATAAATATTTATGATGATTCAATAATTAATTTGTATCGATTGAGACTTTTTAAATGAAATATGCTGGTTTTAATTATATAGTTGATACATTTAATTTGTACTACAAATTAACAAATCAATTGGTAACCCAAAAACGAGCTATATGATCATACACTACAACAACATTAGTCTCATGCAATTTGATATTGTTTCGGTCTAATAAAAGGTTTCACTCAAAGAAAATTTCCCTCAACATATAATTATATATATAAAGAAGAAAAGAAAAAACTCAGCGGTTATGGTTTGTTTATGTGATCGGTGAACCATATTGTTAATTCACAACCAAACATCCACAATGAGTTTTGATGTAACGTTCAATGTGATTTGTTTTTTTTTGTTTGTTTGTTATCTCTCAAGTATCATTCTGAAGGACCAAACAAACTAATAGATTTTCAATTAACATAATTGTTTACCCACTATGTTGCAGCTTTTTTGTTGATGATTATAATTAACTGATACAAAATTACGTACAGATACCTTACAAAGTAATACTATTTCCAGACAAGAATAAACAGTCACACTATTTAAAGACAAGAATACTTTATTTTATACTGTATGATATTACGAATTACAGTTTGTATCCCAAATACGATCTTACACACACGCAATTTAAGTGGTTGACTTCAATAAGAGAGTGAGTAATAATTATATGTAGCTTTTTGTTCCCATGTAACAATATTTACTCCCTCGCTTGCTTACATATGATGAAAACAGGCAACCTGCAGTAACCACAATTTAGAGGAACATAAATTAAATGTGCGGATAAAAAACATATACTTGAGAAAAAATAATAATAAAAAAATGCCATTACATATAGTTTCCTAAACTTCTGAAATGAAATTTTCTCAGCTTGTTTTTTTTTGTTTTGTCTCAGAAATTTTAAATTAAGTTTTGGTTTCGTCGATATTGTATGGTTTTAAACTGAAACTAAACAGAAATACTATATAGTTAAATACCATATGTAAATTTTGGTGGATTTTCATTACCTATGAAATTTTACTACTTTAACATATATGAATTAGCTATATATATTAACACACATGTGATAAATCTACTGCACTTAAAAAGCAAAATCCATCAATGTATGCAAAATGAAGAAGATGGAAAAATATATGTGCATGTTATGTTAAGGCATAATCTTATGTCATAAAATGTCTATATTATAACATTCTCTATATTCTAGAGTAACAAAATCTCTATGTTATAACTGAATAGGAATTAGATTAATCACTAATTCTATCATTCCCACAGAAAAATCATTACTAATTTGTTTCTAATTATGAAGATGTTAACTATAACACAAGGTAACATAATCCCTTTATAAATAAACCATTGTTACACATATAAAAAAAATCACAATCAAGAAACACTCCCCATCGAAATTTTCTTATATTCTCTGCCAGAAAAAAAAAAAAAAAAACAAATCCTTGTACCTTTAAAAATGGAGAACAAAAGAATGACCATGTTAGTTGTGTTCATGATGTTGGTGATGGGAAACATTTTGATTGAAACAGAGGCTATAGCTTTTAAGGAATGTTACACACCTTGTGTTGTGGCGTGCGGTAGTGTTGCGCATGGGATTACTAAAGCTATGTGTCCTTTCACGTGTCTTAAGGAATGTATACATTCTAAACCTTCTTCGGTTGCAAATCTAAAAGAAACTGACCATACTGATTTTTTCTGCAAACTCGGATGTGCTACCACTCGTTGTCTTTCATCTGCCTCAATCGAAGATAAGGGTAAGTTTCGTCAGTTTTTGTATTTAGTATATTATACAGTTTAATCTAGAGCAGATGAATGTTTTGATTATTTTTAAAGATATCAATTCATTCGTGTAGGTTCTAGTTAAGTTTCTTATGAGTTGTTTTGTTTTATATATTTGGCAGATCATGTGGAGAAAGTTTCAGTATGCGTGGATTCATGTTCAGATATGTGCTCCCGCAAGAACTAAACCCCATGCTCACACACTTATGGTTAATTACTTAATGTCTAAATAAAATGATTATAATAAACGAGTGATAAAAGCTTTTTTTTTTCCCAAATGATAACTTATTTGTAGAGATGATATGCTTTGTGTTACGAGAAAGCCAATCGATGAAGCCATTAAAAATAAAGAGACATGTCTAATAACAATAATAATAATAATATTAATAATAACCGTATTAATGAGTTTTGTGGAAAACTGTATTTCATTTCATGGGACATTTTTAGGCCTTAATGTTTTTTTTTGTTTTGAAGAGTAATATCCAAATGGTGAAGGGAATAGAAAAATATATATATATATATATATATCTTTTTTTTGAAAAAATATAGAAAAATATATATTCTCCCATCAATTGTCGTATTATCAAAATAATTACACCTTGATTTGTTGTTGACTACTATCAAAGTGTTTACTTATACGGAAAATTACGTGATCCCTATATAAACACAAATATAAAGTGCAATAATAAACAAAACAATCGCATCAACACGTACGTTTTATAACACACTTGAGAAAAATGGAAAGCAAAAGAGTCGCCATGTTGATGAACATTATGATGGTAGTGGGATGCCTTCTGGTTCAGACAGAGGCTACGTCGACTTCTATTAACCATTTTACAGTTTGTTACTCAAAGTGTCATGTGGTGTGTAAATCTCATACGACGTTTCCAAAATCTCTTTTTTGTCCATTCACATGTCTCATGACTTGTATTGTTCCTACTCTACCATCTCCTTCTTCTTCTTCTTCTTCTTCTGATACTACGGGTTTTAATCGACCATACTGAATACTTCTGCAAACTCGGTTGTGCTACTCATCATTGTGTTTCTCTTTCTTCTCTCCAAGATCCGAGTAAGTTATTCACTTTTTCACATTCACAGTTTTTGTAAAAATAAACATTTCTATTAAACTCATGCATCTTTGTCTTTGGTCACTACAATCTTTATATGATGGTTGTACGTATCTATGGTTGTGATGTTGTTTGTGGTGCGGACAGATGTGGAGAAAGTTGCAACCTGTGTGGATTCATGCTCGGAACAATGCTCCAAGGACAAGAAACACTGATATTTAGTTTTTTTTTTTTCATGAATAAAAATCAAATCATAATATGAACTTTTGATTTTGTATTCACGCGATAATAAACCAAATGAGTGTTTTTTTTTTCTTTTTTTTTGCAAGTCAAATAAATTTTTAGTTTTTTTCTTTAATTAATTTTGGTTCTTGTAATTAAAACCAATATATAAAACTGCGAACCAAAAACAACGTTGTTTTTTACTTACTATTCACTATTCAGCTGTAATATTTGATCTTTATTTTAAGCTACGACCATTTTGTTGTTGTTTATTTGTAATGTTAATTGTTAAGTCTTTATCTATGAATATATACAACGACATCAAACCTCATATATAATAGATACCAATACCTCTAGACGTCCTCTAGGTATTGTGATTGGGATTATATGTATATACAAACATCATTGTTACCTTCATCCCTTTCGCGAAAAGATATATATACGTGACGAAGGTTCCGGCAATGCAAACGTAACCAAGAATCAAGAACCATTAATGTGTATATTTGTAATTCATTTTAAATTGATTAAAACAGATTATAAGTAGATGATTATATGTACAAAAAAAAACAGAATCCATAACGAAATCATACATATTTTTTTAGAGCATAGTTTATGAACTAATATTACTTTCTACTACTTGTGTTCTCACGATGTACAGTCTTATGTATATATCGAATACACATTATTCACAGTTATACCACCAAACCAGAAAATTTGAATAAAAATCAAATATGTGTCCCTCATGGAAACGATTCGTATACACATTAATATAGTTTTTTTTTTTCTGTCAACAGAGCTTAGTCTTTGTGTTATTTTTCAGATAATTCGCTGTTTATTCGATAAGAACAAGTTTCTATTTCTTTTTTTTCAGAGAAAGCAATTGCGTTGTTTCTCTAATGTATACAGCCAGCGCAAGTGAATAGACAAATGTATGAAAGCAAAGATCTACATTAAAAAAAGGCTGTAATTAATTTTACGTTAATGCATATTTGTATGACACAAACGGAATAATATCATTAATCATTTAAGCAAATATCTACAACTAAAAAGGCTGTAAGTTTTACGTTAATGTATGCCATGAACGGAATAATATCATCTTCAAATGGGAAATAAATCATCGAAAAATATATATGATTCAATATTTTTGTTGACTGTTGAAAAATTAACTAATAAAGAGTTCATATATAAACAAGCAATACCAACACAAACTGTCACCACCACCATTCACAAGTAACACACAACTTTTATAATATTCTCGATCTACAGACACCAAAATAAAAAAAAAAGATGGAGAGCAAAAGAATGGTGATGTTTGTGACAATGATGATAGTGATGGTGATGGGGAACCTTCTGATTCAGGCACAAGCTCAAGCTCAAGCTCCACCTCCACCTTCTCCTTTCAAAATATGTATTCGTGGCTGTGTTGTGGGTTGTCTATACCAGAAGACGTTTCCAGATGTTTTGTCGTGTCCATTAACGTGTCTAGGGACCTGTCTTGTTCCCAGATTACCTTCTCCTCCTTCACAGATGGTTTCAACAAATGACGTCAGTCGTAATGATTACTACTGCAAACTCGGATGTGCTGCTCATCACTGTGTTTCCCTTTCTTCTACCCAAAATCAGAGTAAGTTTTTTTTTTTTTTTACTATTGTAAGATTATATGGTTCTTTTCTTTTATTTTATTGACGTATATGTCACCATAAGATTGATTGTATTGTTTGTTTTGTTTGGTGTTTGTGGCATGACCAGATGTAGACAAATTTGTGGACTGTGCGGATTCATGCTCGGACAAGTGCTCCAGCAAGAACTAATAATGATATGAACCTACGATGAATATTTATGCCTACTTATCACTTGTTTTTATCATTACGATGTCGATGAATATTTTTATAAACAATCGCACCAACGTTTCATAACACTTTCCTAAGTAAAATGCATTGAGCGCAAAACAGTCATGACGTTGATGAACAATGTCATGATAATGATGGTGATTATGGGATACCTTCTCGTTCAGACATCATATTTATCTTAACAAAAATATATGAACGATTGATTCGTATTGACGGGATATTAAAAGCAAATGAGTTATGAAAAAAAAGAAGAAGCAAATGAGTGTTTTTCTTTTTCTTTTTCTTTTTCCAAGGCAAATAAAAATATATTTTTTTTATTTAATAAATTTTGGTGTTTGCTACTTTGCTAGCTAGTTAATCGACAGTGAACCAAATATAAAGATTCAGTTGTAAAAATTTGATATTAATCTACGACCATTTTTAGTTGATTATAATGTGAAGTCTTTATCAATGACCTACATCAAACCTTGGTCTAAAACCTCATAATCTACCGATGAGTATATAGTTTAAAACCTATAGTGTATACTACGGTAATGTGCGTAAACGTGATTAGACGTATGGGGAAGTTGTATGCCAAGATATTTCTACATAGTTTCTAATTTTAAGACTATAAATTTATAACTGTAATTTTTTAAATTCCCCCTAGTTAAGATTAACTAATATTAGTTTCTACTAGTTTTTTTGTTATATCACCAAACCAAAAATTTAAATATAATCAAATGTGTGTAACTAACGAAATTTTTTTCTACATACAATATTCTGGAAGGTATACATATATACAATATATACAATTGTACTGTTTTTTTTTTTGTTTTAATTTTGTCTAGGCTTACAGCTGTATATATTCAGCGCAGTAAAACAGATAACAGTTCATGTATTTAGAGCAAATATCTACAATTAAAAAGGCTGTATATTTTACTTTAATGCATATTTGTATGCCATAAAACAGAAGAATATCATCTTTTTTTCTTTTTTTTTGCTAAACAGGAAGAATATCATCTTCAAATGAAAAATGAATGGGCAAAAATATATATTATCCTATCATTGAAATACATAACCATAATTACACTTATATTCTTGTTGACTATAGCAATATTAACTAATAAAGCAGATCCATAGTACATTATATAAACAAGCAATACCAAAACATACTACCACCACCAACATTCACAAGTAACACACAACTTCCTCAACTTTTATTAATATACCAAAAAAAGGACAGAAAGGATAGTATGGAGAGCAAAAGAATGGTGATGTTTGTGATAATGATGGTATTGGGAAACCTTCTGATTCATACAGAAGCTCAAGCTCCACCTCAACCCTCTCCTTTCAAAAGCTGTTACAAAGGTTGTGTTGTTGTTTGTTTCTTCCAGCAGAAGTTTCCAAACATGTTGATGTGTCCATTAACGTGTCTGGGGACCTGTCTTGTTCCCCAAATGCCAGTGCCTTCTCCTCCTTCAGAGATGGTTTCATCAACAAACGAAGTCAGTTATAATGATTACTACTGCAAACTCGGATGTGCTACTCATCACTGTGTTTCCCTTTCTTCTACCCAAAATCCGAGTAAGTTTCTATTTTATTTGGAGATTATGATTTTTCTTTTCTTTTATTTGGTTTATTGACATTATCAACATATGACTATATGAGTATATTGTATTTATGGTTTTTGTTGTTGTTTGGTGTTTGTGGCATGAGAGCAGATGTTGACAAAGTTGCGGACTGTGTGGATTCATGCTCGGACAAATGCTCCATCAAGAACTAAATAACCTGCTTTTACGTTTTGTTTTTGGTTTATTGTAATAAAAGTACCGTTCCTAAAAGTGATATGAACCGTTTAGTTGTTTGTTTGTATCATCATTACGATGATTAGTTTATGTCACAAGCAAGCAAATCGGTTAGATTAAAAAAAAAAATAACTTTTTTGCTTCATATTATCACTCTGTTTCTTATATGGACCGGGCCGAAGTTATAACTAAAAATACGTTAATCATAAAAAAAAATATACGCATTAACACATTTGTACGTGTATTAAACAGAGTTGGTAATAAACACCGATCGGAGATCCTTAAATCGCCGAGGACATGGCAGTGAGTAGAGGAGGCTGTTTCATGAGATACATCAATGCGTTAAAGATTCAGACTTTTTGTTTGTTATTGACTTCTCTATCAAATTCAAACCATTGCTCACTCTCAATTGCTACAAGGATTTGTTAGATTCATTGGCTACTACTAGATTGCTCCATGGGATCAAAAATTTCTACACGGAGATGTTATGGATGTCGTTTCACCAGGCGTTCACACTTTAAAAACAATGGTTTCCGTCTTTGATTATGGATTACTCTATAACCAAAGATGTTGAGGCTGCTCCATAAGAATATGGTAGAACTGGAACATGGGTGTGATCCTGATTCAAAATGCTACGAACGCCTCATGTTGGGGCTTTGTTTTGCTAAGAAACTAGGATTAGCACAGTGTTTGTTGGATCAGATGCAAAGGTGGTGTTGTTGCAATTTGTGTTTTCAGAAATTTAGGAGATATGATCGTTGCTATTGCAACAGTTTTTTTTGACGTTTTATTCTTCCAAAATTGTATGGAAGTACCCGAAATAACATATGATATTTTGATAACTCCGATCCAAAACAGGATCAATCATTTGTTTAGCATATTCTATTCACAGGATCTGTACATAGTCAGAGATGTAGACGAGGGAAAAACACAGAATCATATCAAATCCAACTACTAGAGAGCTATTATCCGTAAGAGTCACTACGATGGTGGAGAACCCGTAGCTTGTGGTGGCTTGGACAAATGCCCATGTGCATTGTGTGGGTTATAAGTCTGAGAAGCTGTTTTTTTTTTCAGAAAGCTCGGCAGAGTGTATTAGTCGTGGTCAAGTTAGAAGAGTGTTGCTGCTCAATGGGGTTATTGGTGGGACTACAGACTCTGCTTCTCTTTGGTTCTGAGATCCTCACGTTGGAGATTGCAACAACAAGCACATCAACCACACCGCTCTCATCTTCTTCCTCCTCTGTGTTGGAGAATGAATCAGTCGGTGAATCAGATGTTGTCTTCTTTTCTCTGTTAGTTCTGTTTACATCAGTTTTCTCTACGAGACTGCGATTCTTTAGGCACGGAGGGGATCCTGCTTGACTCTTGTGCTTCGTCTTGATACACATGGTCTTGAGTGTGCGGTCTGTGTAAAAGAGTATCCATGGATGCCCTGAATCAAAAGTGGAATATTAAGTCAGTTCACCCTCACAACTTAATGGAATTCCAGAATGAAAATCAAGGTTAAGTATCAAACATAGACGAACAGAAAATCCAGCAACATCAAACATTAAATGGATATCTAAGTCATTGCTGGAATCAAAGAAGTTGGAAGAGGCTAAAAGGCTTACTTAGTACTTCATCCGCTGTGATTCTGGCAGATTCTTCCCTTGTTAGCATTCTTGCCAAGAGATCACGGGCAGGTTTGGACACAGACTCCCACACTCCCGAGTTGAAATCAAGCTTCACGTTTTTTATTGCTTCGAAAATGGCGTCCAATGAGTCTCCCTTAAAAGGGAGTACACCAGACAAGAGAGCATATAAGAGGACACCTGCACTCCAAATGTCGACCTTCTCTGAATAATTTTCAGAAAGAACTTCCGGTGCAACATAAGCAGGGCTTCCTGCCAATCCTGACAGTGTTTGACCTGTACAAACCAATGAACAAACATGTAAGCAAAAATTTGACAGCCCAATAAGCTACAGAGAAAGGGTCAAACTCTTATCACAAGTACAATATGTCAAACGCTAAGCTCTAGAGAAGAAGAGGAAGTGAGGGAACCATAACTTGCCAGCAATAACACCATAACGAATACTTTAATCAAAGTGATAATAAAGCATGTACAGCCGCTATCAACCTTAGTCATGAACGACTAGCTCTCTTTATCTAGTTTATAGTCAAGAAAAGTATACTCATTATCCAGGCAATTGCAAGTTAAATTACTAGAGGAAAAGACAAACACAGGACAGTTAAATTTCGTACCAATAGGTCATATTTTGGGGATCACTAATTTTTTCACCAGTACTGATAGACATTGGTGCCATGCGAACTTTACAGTATCAAGCCACTATGTTCCATACAGAATGAAGTCATTGCACTTGACAAATTCGTAAAGTCACTGCCATGTATATAAATCATGCATACACAAATTACTAGGAAGTACTAACGTCTGAATATAATTTACCTTTAGCAATTCTCATGGCGAGGCCAAAATCAGCCAGCTGTATCTTCCCCGCAGCTGTTAGGAGAATATTCTCTGGTTTTATATCTCTGTGCACAACTCCCATCTCATGGCAATAATTGATGACTAGCATGAGGTCCTTGAATATATTAGCTGCTCGCTGCTCAGAATACCTGCCAACCTTTACCATCTGATCAATCAAACGACCCCCTGAACACAGCTCCATTACAAGATGGAAACAGTCCGACTCTTCATATACAGCATGTAATGTGACAACACGAGGATGACCAGATAAATGTTGCATTATCTCAACTTCTCGATGAACTGTCTCCTCCCCCTTCTTCAGAGTTTTACAAGCAAACTCAGTCCCATTCTTCCTAGACTTACAGATCCTGACTGACCCGAATTTGCCTTTCCCAATATTCCGACCAAAAACATAGTCGTCGTCTATTTTATTCTTCCTACCAGTCTGTGTGGAAACATCTATGCACCCTATCTTCCTCTTCAACCCTCTTCCTGATGAAACCAAAGACGATGCACCACAAGGAGGTGCGGTAGCAACACCAGCAATTCGTCTCTTAAAGGAACCAACAGACTCGACAGCTTCATTTTCCTTACACCGCTTCTTTAGTCTAGCATAACCCTCGAGTGAAAAGTGCGACCTGAAGTTGGATGATCGTGATGCAGTTGAACATAACAAATCCTCTGGTAATTTCTCCCAGCCCTCAGTTTCACTACCTTTCCGCTTCTTCCTCATTAAACCAGCCAGAGATATCAAAATCACTTACATAAGAAAATAACGGGCCTTCTCCTGCAAAATCAGAAAAAACGAATCAGCCATCAAAAACAACTGAAGAAATACAACGCCTTAGAACCAATCAAAAAGACAGTACACAAGTGTATCGAAAAGCCAATTTCCAATACATTGCAAAAGAGAAAAACCAAACATTTACCCCATCGATTGCACAGATGTGTACACAACTTCACAAGTACAATCTAGAAAGCAACGCGTAGACGAGTAGGAAAACAAAAAAGACGCAACTTGAATGACTCAGAAGCTCCCCACAGATTTTCGCGCGAAACCCATTACCTTTTCCCGGAATAAAGAAGAAGAATGCTAGATCGAAACAGCAAAAACCAATACTCAATCCCTTTAATCAAAGTACAGAGATAGGATCAAAGGAAGATAACGAACCTCGGCGTCCTTTCACCAAGACGAAGCCGATCAGAAAAGACACTGATGGAACCTAATGAAGCGAATCGGTGCGAAATTGGCGATCAATGAATCAGAGATGAATATACTAGCACAGAATCGAATCCATAGATGTTAAACCGCAGCGAAGATCGAAACGGAGAAACCCTAGCAATCTCGATTAAGCGATATTTGGGGGAGAAAAAAAGAGAAAAGGCTAAGCCCAAATCATGCAGATCTTCGTTAGATGATGATGCTATATATACATCAACATCTTCGAGATTGTGTGATATACAGTGTGTATCTCCCTTAACCGGTACAATGTCGGTACTACAATAACCGGTTTATTTTAAACCTTCTCCGTCTCGATTTTGACCTATGTGTGTTTTATCAGAGAACCGTCTCTGTTGAATTATTTCCTTTTGTTATTTTGATTAGCATCTTCTTCTAATCTTTTCTAAAAATATTAGTTTTAAATATTTGCTATGTTTATGAACTATGACGAGATAGTTATGCTTATGAACTCGGATTTTCTAAGAGCTGCAGCTCTTTCATTATGTTCATTTCTAGCCACATTTTGCATCCTTGTAGTCTCAATGTCCTCAAACTCGTCAGATTTGATATCCCATGTAAACTCTAAAGACTGCTCGTGGACACCAAATTCACAAGTGTTAACATTTTCAACTCTTATTCCATGACAAGTCAAGATATTACAGAGAAACCAATCCTGATATTTGCTCTGGCAATCCAATGAGACTGGTATTCCATTATAAATCCAAAACGAGTAGTCTAGGCAGAGACCGAAAGAACTCACCTGAGATAGCTACTAATTTATGGTTATCCCCAAGGAGGGAAGTAGTAAGTTCAGGACAGTCGAGGCTCGCAGATATCTTCTCAATCTCATTTACCATCAATGACATCCTCTTCTCAGATTCTTCCAGTGATTCACTTTAGGTATTTCACGTAACCCAACACCAGCCTGTCCCCTGTATATTACATTTCTCTTTATGCTTTCTGAGATCCGAGGCTATCCAGATGGCCATCTCCCGAACCACATCATGTAATTTCCCAAATGATTTATCCTGTCCAATGTTACAACAATAAACATGCGCGAACAAGGGTACCAATTATCTCATAACCTTGGTTTGCTGCCCTCTCTCCACCTTCCTTTTCATCTATAAATCCTTCACTTATCCAGTATTCTATCAACCTCCCTTTATCCAAAAGATAGTCCTTTGCTTACTTCTTTAGAATCCTTGATCTCCCTAGCTTCCCGAGATCTCTGTGCAGTTTTGCCGAATTCATACCACGAGCTTCTCTGGTGTTGAAGTTATGAGATGCAGTAATCATGTTGAAGAGCTAACCATAAATCATATCTAAACTTTTAAAAAAGGTTCAGCTACTAAGCTTGAGATCCTCTCAAATGCTTAACTCCTGGAGATCTCGTCAGCTCTATGAACCTGCCAAAATCACGCAGAAGATTGTTTTTGAGTTTTAGTAATCAATCAGTTTAGGAACCTGTTTAGTAGATAATACTTTGGCACACATAACTAACCTTCAAAAATATTTGGTTGTTAACTAAGCAAGAAAAAACCTTTTCAATGCTCTGCGACAAATGAAAAAAAACACCAAACCGCTAAGAAAGCATATCTAGAAAGCTTTTGTCCAATTCACCACTCGATAACATATCAGTAACCATCTTAATTGTGGAAGCATCTGCTGAGAACCCACAACTCTTCATTTCTTCAATAAGTTTAGCTGATGCAGTTAAGTCACCAACTTGAAGATGTGCCCGTATTAGTGTGTTATATGTACAATCATTTGGCGCATTTCCATCTTCCTCCATTTTTGTAAGCAAGACGTTTGCTTCAGACAGAGACCCTTTCTTACATAATCCTGAAATCATCACAGTGTATGTCATAACATTAGGCTTCACTCCTTTACAAGGTAGGCTACAGAATAAATTCCATGCATCTTCCACTTTTCCACCCTTGCACATCCCCTCAATGATGATTGTATACATAACAATATCAAGATCCATCTTACTCTTTTGCAAATCCTCAAAAATTTCCAAAGCCTTTTCAAGCTTCCCATTGTCACACAAGCCATCAAGCAAAATACCATATGTCATAACATCAGGACGAACACCGCATGAAACCATTTCTTGGAAAAGTTCCTCCGCGATCTTTAGTTTCCCAGATTGACAAAACCCTTGGACAAGAATGCTATAAGTAACTGTATTGGCGACCAAGCCTCTCTTAGAAATCTTGCGGAAGAGTTTCATACCATCGTCGACCCTTTTCATCTTACAATATCCTTTTATGAGACTTGTAAAAGACACGATATCAGGATTGCAATTATTCTGAACCATAAGATCCAACATATTGTTGGCCTCGCTAAGGCGGTTCTGCATGCAAAACCCATCCATCAAGGAGTTATAGGTTATAGTATTAGGAGATATGCCTCTTGTGATCATCTCCTTGTACAATTCGTTAGCTTCCTGAAGCTTCCCTTCTTTGACAAAAAAATCAATTAATACATTGAAAGTGATGACATTAGGGGTGATTTTCCTACTCAACATATCATTCAGCATCTGTGCACCTTCGTTCCATTTACCGGCTTTACAAAGACCTCCAACAAGAGAATTATACGTAACAACATTAGATCTGATACCCTTCGTTTCCATTTCATTGAGAAGGTTAATTGCAGCATCCATGGAACCATCTCTACAAAGACTATCAATGATTGTACTATAAGTAAATACATCAGCCTTAACATCTCTTTCTTCCATCTCTCTGAGCACATCCAAGGCCAAAGAAGCATCTCCTGATTTACATATTCTATTTACAATTGTATTATAAGTAACCACATCGGGTATACATCCGTTTGCCACCATCCTATCGACTAAACCCGCAGCTTCAGCCACTTTACCCTCGAGACAGAGTCCATTGATCAGAGTGTTAAACGTGGTTGTGTCAGGCTGATACCCAAGCTTCATAACTTTCCCCAAAACGGAATAAGCAAAACAAGTTTTACAACACCGGCAAAAGCAATTGATCATAATGTTCAAAGTGAAGATGTTATGTGCAATCCCATTCATTTCCATCTGCTTGCATAAATCTAAAACGAGATTGAACTGTTTTGTTCTTGCAACGGCACTAAACAATCTACTGAAGTCAACAAGAGTAGGAAGAGGACGAGACCCAACCATTTCTTGAAACAGATCAACAGCATCATCTTCCTTAATATCAACAATCACACTTCTCAATCTCTCTTTAAAACAGCCTTTCCCATTGCTGATACCAGAAAAGTCTCGTTCGGAGCTAGACAATAACTTAGAAAGGCTACAGAAAAAATCATTTCTAAGAGTACCTGTCTCCAAGAGATGAGGCTGAACCAATCTCAAAGCTTTCAAATTTAAAGCAATCGATCTCCTTATCATCATCGTTTCTTCAGCTGAGTTGTTCGTTTTTGCTCTGTAACCTACAAACCTCAATGGAGACGGAAGAAAGAAAACCCGGTTCAATAATCCTTTCTCTATAACCGGTTCAATTTCACTCGGTATAAATCAAATACCGGAACTGCTCTGGTCTGTACTGTGATTGGAGTCATTGGGACTAAAAAAATTTCTTTCTTGATACTTCTCTAACAAACTAGTTTTCAATCTTTGATTCAAATATTATCGTTGCAAAAGTTCATGCTAATGGATCTGAGTTGTTAAATTTGTAACAAATAAGTATTCTTAACGTAAATATAAGTTTATAACAGATGGTTTAGTTTCATAATATTACAGATAGTTTCATAGCCACAACATAATATTACAGTTTGCTTCAAAACTCAATTAAGTTGACAAAACAAAACATAACAAAAGCTCTCTTAAAAAGAAGCTCTAACTACATCTATCGAAGGCTAAAGAACTGCACTAAAAAACCTGCTTTAACCTCTCACTAAACCCGGATCCAGTTGAAACATTAAAACCGCTTCAACTGGTCTTTACACGAACTAGGGTATACAACTACAGAGTCTAGAGATAACCCGCCTTTGGTATGTGTACAATCGATCTGAGTCATCGAAAACTTAATCTTTGTCGATGACTTACTCGATTCCCGGACAACAAAGTCTCCGGCATGGTAGTGAGTCCAGTTTCCTTTCTCGGTTAACATGCATTGAGATGAGGAATATTGACCATCTTCTGTCCAGAGCTGAAACCGAGCCGGCTTAATGTCCCATCCATGGACTTGTTCGGTGTTACAGACCCGTCGACCAAACCACTTTCCCGACCGGCCTAATTGGAGCCTAAAGAAGATGCTGTAGGTTCCAACCGGGAGTGGGAAATCGATTTCCCCGGCAACTTCAAACCACCAGATTTGTTGGAGATAAGCTACAGAAGAAAACCTACAAGAAGCAAGAAAAGATGGTTTACTTTAAAATTGCAGAAAACACAGATGATAGCAACACAAGATAATAAACCTCAATACTCATTTACCAATCAAAATGAATCGATTTGTGAAGTCTTGAAAATTATTTTACTGATAGGGAGCGAAATGAGAATCGATTGACCCGAAAAAATGTTAACTCTGACTGGAAATGATGAAAGTTAGACCATAACATGTATCATAACGAATCCATTCAAGTTTGTATAAGAAACCACATGGTCAAGACATAAATTCAGAGGAAAAGGCATACTTTTAAAGAGCTTGTGTTAGGCAATCGAACCAAGCACGTTAAAAAGCATACGTTTGAAAAACTGAGTGAGTGTTAGGCGATCAAATCAAGCAAGCAAAAGCCACAATGATCACTGAATTTAAATAACAACAAATGTGAAAATCAGAAAACGATTGGTCTATTTGGATGGAACTTGATAAGAAATAGAGAAAAAGACAACAAATAGTGAGAAATCTCACCGAGATTCATCAGTTGGGATATGACTCCAGTACCTACGATCATCAATGCCTGTGATGTTTAATCCTTTAGCTGAAATGGATAGACAAACACCACTGGTTCGTTTATCTATCCACACCTTCTGCAGAACCAACCGAATTTTCGTAAATACATAGTTTCTGGAACGAGCCGAGCAAATTTGAAATGAGATTATACTAGTGATGAAAAATTGAGCTCAAAACTCGTTTTCGGGATCCCCAATTGAAAAAGTTTCCTATTTTAGAAAAAAATATCCCAAATCGTTGTTCTGCAAACCCTAATTTTAATTAAACCCTGAAATAAGAAAGATACAAGAGAGGGTTTAGAAGAGAAATGACCTTGGTGCCTTCATCAAATGAGTTAATCCTGGAGAGACAAGCATAAAGGTCTCTCTTTTGCAAATTTTCCGGGAACCCACCAAGGATTTTCTCGAGAAAAACTCTGTAATTCGGAGGAAGCTTCGATTCCCACACACAATCAGCCCAAGATGCGCCGCGAAAAGCTCTATTGAGCTTAGAGAATCTACAGATCTCAACGGGATCCAAATTCTCAACAATCATAGCCACACAAGCCTCTGGCAAATCCCCTAAACCAGGCTTCAATAGATTTCGATCCCCAAAACAAGACGACGGCGAAGAAGAAGAGAAATCATTGTGAAGACCAGAGTGAGCCACACCCATCTAAAACCCTTTCGACGAGATCCAAAAAATCTCAAGTGTGTTCTGAGAAAAATGGATCTTCTTGAATCTTCAACCAAAGTTTCGAAATTTCAAGACTTTTCGTCTTTTCGCACGCCAAAAAGAAGAAGAAAGGAATCAAAAGTGTTGTTTTTACTCAAGAACAGAGCAAATAAAGATTAAAGAAGAAAGGTTTGGTGGTGGTGACAGAGAAGACAATATTGGGGGGGGGGGGGGGGATGACGCAAAAGGCATGTGGATCGTGTAATAAATAATACATATTTAAAAGCTGTTGGATTGTGGATGTTGATTTTTGTTTTCTTGTCCGTTTTACCTTTATTTTTTTCTCTTTATTTTAATCCGTGTAATAACATTCATGAGTTGTATAAACTTGTAATATCCAAATCCTTACCCATTTGAGATTTTCAGTTATACCTAATCCAAAATGTCAACGAGAATCTGTTTATTTTGTATGAACATGTAAAGAGATTGCATTGTCATTTTAATAACGTTTTCCCCCATATTCACGAATCGTTTCGGATATATATATTTGTGTACTACTAGCAAGTATTATATTGCATATTGTTGTTGTATACGATTCACATATAAACACACTTCTTTGTATTTAACAGTTTTCAGTTCTCTCTGCATCATTTTGAGCTCTCGACCATCCAATTGGCCAGGACATCTTATAATTATTCTGATGATAAACTTAAATTTCACACAATTGATGTTTACGTTCCAAGTTGAATGAATATGAGTTGTCATCATGAGTCTCGTGACACACAAACAAAAGAAAGGAAGTGTCCATCTATGCTGAGATATTTTGAAGATATTATTTGACGATATTAAGTGCTTACTAAGATTACCACCTCCTTCATGCATATCACGAAGATTCATGAAAAATATCTAAACACATCATTGCAGTACATACTGTTCCTTTCTTTTGTTTGATAAGAAGCTTTAGATATTTCGTTCCTCCTATCAGATTAATGTCAGAAAAGAACATTTGTTTCTGTCGGTGAAGGACGGGTTACACACTGCATGATTACAAAACCATATCTCGTACTCGTATTACCCAATAAAACTTTTCAATATATGTGAGCTATTTATGTAACTACGACAGCCGTTTTGGACCACACCTAGTATTACACAGGAAAATATTTAAAACAAAACTGGTCCACAAAAACACACCTAATTAGATTCTTGACATGATCATCTGGAGACTTCGAGAAATATTTTGACATATAATTTGTTTATTGACATATATGATCAGTTTTTTTTTTTTTTTCAGTGTACTCATAAATAAATCTAAAAAGAATGAGATCTTCAATTGAATGTTACTTCATTTTTTTTAATTTACTTTTGTGCAACTTTTTCTTTGCTTTTTTTTTTTTTTTTTTTCATATATCATCTCATTACTTTTTCTTTAAACAAGTTAGTTTTCACCGAAAGTGTAAATTATCTAAAAATCAGGGACTATGGCAAAAAATAATAATTTATTAGTTAAGTTACGGGCTGGGTTGAAGTCATGGCCCATAACACTTATGTAAAACCAGCCCATTAGTCTATTTTGCCAACATGGAAACTAGAATCGAACATCACGACGTCGTCGTATCGACTGTTACGACTAGCTCGCCGGAGATATGAAGGAAGAGAAGAAAGACGTCGGAGGAGATATGGCAGAGAAGGAGCTTCAGACACCTTACGGGTTTTGGATTTGGGCTACGGCTTCCGCGATTCTCCGATTATTCTTCATTTTTTTCCCGGAATACTTCAAACTATCCTCTCGCCCGGAGGTCTCTACCCCTCTCACAAGCCTTCGCCGCCGTATCGCCTCTCACTCTCATCATACTCTCTCTCATTCTGTCATTCTCTCTCCACACATCTCCAGTTTCGCTTAGCAGTTCTCTTTTCGTTTTTGTTTTTGAATGTTCAGTTGCTGAAGCTTACTGGTTGAAGCAGTCATCAATGTCACCGTACGCAGGTTTGTGATTGTCTCCTACGTATGGGATTTGAATTATAACGATTGTGGAAGTTGAATTGGTACTCTTTTTTTATCTTTATTCTGTGCAGGATCAATGTATCATGGCTCTCCATTGCTGCTCTCCATTCTGGGTCCGCTCACAAGCCAAAGGTAGTGACTGTAATCTATTCAAAGTTTGATTCTTGAGCTGAGTTTCCGAGGCTTCGTGCATTGTATCATTTGAGTCTAATTCGAAGTGGTATTGATATCATAGTTGGATGATGCAGGATTAAAGGGCATTCGAGTCATCAGTTGTGCAGGTATTAATGGTTATGCATTGTAGAAGAGGTCGATTACAAAACTGTACCAACTTTGTGATCTTGATGGGATTAGAGACATTATCCTTTCATATTATTGTCTTGATTGAGAGCTTTGTATGTAGTCATCATGCGGTTGATACCAACCAGCTTCTGGATACAGCTTGGTTTTTGTTATTGCAGATATACTTAGTGCAGTGCTTCTTCGAGCTATTGGTCAGAAGCTCCTAAAGACTTACATAATGAATTTGAAACAACTTGGCGTTCTCAGGTCATCACAGGACAGAGGTAACTAATTTATTCACTTATTCAACAAAGTCAGAGTATACAATTTTTTTTGGGAACCAATGTTGATCTATAGGTCTTAATCCCGGTATACATTTATTTATTGTTTTGAAGTTTGTTAATGGTGTACAAAATCATAGTTCTCTTTCATTCTTTCTGATCTCTCATTTTCCTGTTCCTCTCAGGGATCCTCCCTTGTGGTGATATTGCTGCTCTTGTGTACCTCTGGAATCCTTTCACAATACTTTCCTGTGTTGGCTTATCAACTTCTCCTATAGAAAATTTCGCTGTCATTGTATCGCTTTACGGAGCAGTTACTCGTAAGCAATTGTTTGAAACTGTTCTTTGTATCTATATTGGATAAAGAAACCTGCTTTCAATTTAATATCATCTCTTTCGTTCTTCTTCTAAACAACTGTCTTCAAACCTTGCAGGAAAAATTCCTCTGGCTGCATTTGGGTTCATCATGGCCACGCATTTGTCTCTTTATCCAGCCAGTTTGGTGGTTCCAGTACGCACAAATCTCATTTCAATTGTCATTTAATTCTGTATCTCAAGTTCCTCCAGAGAATTAGATTCTCATCTCTCTTGTGTTTCCTTCAGCTGATCTTTCTGTTGGGATCTGGTTTAGATGCCCCTCCTATAAAAAATTTCCTTCAGACAAGAGATCGAGGAGTTGAGAATGGATCAACCTCTGATGTTTCTAAACAAGACAAATTGACTCGAACTACTCAACTTCCTTTTTTATGGAGAACAGTCTTGCATTTCGTATTCTGGGTACTAGTGTGGTCGATCTATGTGTTGGTTTTATGTAGCTTATCATTGAAACAATATGGTGGGCTGGAGGAGATGTTCAAAAGGTACCACTTATCTGGAGTAAATCTTGATTTCTCAATATATAAGGTTCCGTTATATCATTATAACTATTTCAGTATAAGGATGCTGCAACATGTTTGTCCCTTCTGTTTCCTGTTGTAGGACATATAGATTCATTCTGAGTATAGAAGATCTGTCACCAACCATTGGTGTCTTTTGGTAAGTCCAAGGTCAAATCTTTGTGGAGCAATTCTAGTTTCTGTATATCTTCACATATTTATCCGCCTTCTATCTCATTTTCAGGTACTTATTCGCAGAAGTGTTTGATTTTGCCAGAAGTTATGTCCTGATAGTTTTTAACTTATATATCCTGCTTACGTCGCTACCACCATTAGCCTTCCGATTAAAACATCGGCCCTGCTTCCTTGCTTTCGTGTATTTAGCCATCTCCTCGATTCTTAAATCTTATCCTTCAGTAAGTATTGTAGCTTCACTATGAAACAATATTTGTACCTTTCTTGAATGAAAAGCTTTCTTAAATCTTAAATCTTGAATCTATATAACTAGGTAGGAGATGCAGCTTTATACTTGAGTTTGTGGGCATTGTTTGTGAATGAATTATCAGGTAGTAAAACAAAACCTTCTCATTTCTTTCAATATGATCTTGAATCCTCGTGAGCGTTTCACATCTAACTAGGCTGCTGTGTAAATGTAAGACATCGACCACTTGTTCTTTATATTATGTGGATCTATTGGGTTTTCGCTTCTCAGCCCTGTGATGCACAACATCTGGATATGGAGGGTAAAGCTTTGAACCTCAACTCAATTCAATGACAATAAACTTTTTAAAGAAAACCTTATAAGGATATTAATTACAAACAGCACTGTTAAATCAAAACCATTTGATTTTTGGCTTTACAGGGAACTGGAAATGCAAACTTCTACTACGCAAATGCTATGGGCTACGCATGCTTTCAGGTTAAAAGCCTAAAACTTTGGATTCATTTTTGACCTCATTGACTCGTGAGATACCAACCATAAGGGTTGACTTGTTATTTTGTGTTGAAGGGTCTTATCTTAGTGTAGTTTGGTTTGTTATTTACGGGTTTATGGTTTTGGCTGTATTTACTTTCAGTTTATGTTTGTGGGGGAAAGTGTAAACGCAATGCTCGACCATGACCAGGCGCTGAATAAAGCTACTGCAAAAATGACTAAGAACTGAGCCATTACATGTACAGCCATTAGTGGGTTTTATAGTCTCTAACTATAAACTTGTGGTATAAGTACACTCTGCTTTGTTCTTCTGAGAGTTTCCTCAGTTTTTTTAGTTAACTATAAAAGTAACACTTTGGTATTTGGTCTGGTTTAGGACTTTTATATCCTAATGGTCGATAACTTCTCTTTGAACATTGTAAATGTTTCAGATTAGTATGGTTTCATTATAATTTTTTATTTTGGGTTTAAAGATGAGAGGACAAAAGAAAACTTAACAATTAAAAATTTGTATATCATATGTTTTACAAGAGATCATAGAAAAGTATAGAGCTACAGAGAATATTATTTTGTTAAATGCAATGCAACCGGAACCGGGTAATTAAAGTTGGGTGGACCTTATGACAAGTGCAAAAATCACGTGGTTTTGAAGTGCGAACAAAACAAATCAGCACTTTTGGAGTTATGAGTCCTATCAATTTTATTACGCATTAATTATGAGTTCAAACAAATCTCATAATTGTATATTACAAATTTAACTTCTGTTTAATTAACAAAATCGATGCCATGCAAACTATATTAATAATATACGAACGTAAAAATATGTATGCATAATTAATAATCAAATGGTGTTCATGTTTCCCTAGGACCCTGATTTTATGACGAAGTTATTTGGTCATTGCTTACCGCAATGCCCAATTATTTTACTTCGCCCACAATTTTTCTTCTCGAGTTGCTATAATTTTTAATTTAATTCTATTCATAATTGATTAAAAATACAACTAACTGATATGGTGAGTATTTTTGAATATTGTAGATAATATACTGCGATTTATCTTAGATATCTAATAGGATAATAAAATGTGAATTCTAAGCATGTTGTGTGTTTCGAAGTATATATACTATAATACTCATCATATTCCACGGTAAAGTTTTATTTTTTTTTGTATTTTCTCTTATAATTATACTGTATTATCTATATGTTAAATATTATAAGATTATCGTAGAATCTTCGTTGACTTGTATTATTAAGTAACAGCGAAATTGCTTACGAAAACAGTACAACCAAATTCACTTTATATCAATAAACAATTCTTGATTGTCATTATTCATATTGTATATAATAACTTGAGAGTGTTTAAACTAATGCAGTAATAAATTTATAACTTAATGAGTTTAGTTAATTAAATGTTGAAGTCTACTGTTTGGTCCGTATTGCTAGGTTAAAAATTTAGATGAGTTGTGTATTGCCCCAAAAAAGAAAAAAAAAACGATGAGTTGTTATATTTTCTCCTAGTTCATTTGGATCATCAGACCTGTTATATTGTTTTGTGTGGTATAAAAGATTAATTAAGTTCTCCAACTTTATTTAATTGGGCATGCATCGTAAGTATAAAGTAACTTCATTATAATTGTATGGTTCAAAATTTATTCGGAATAAAATAAAATTAGCGGAAACCCGACAAATCCACTAGACCACTCGTGTTAACTGCTAAGGTAACGTGGCTTGAAATGATTAAAATACACAACCAAAAGGATTAAAGTTACGTATGAAAACAAAACAAAACAAAACTAATAAAAATGTGAAGTTAGACTTAGACCAATGGTTCGGTATGTGGCTCTCTCCCCCCACGACTGGCGTTTTACTTTTGTGAAAGGTCAAACCCTACGGGGACAAGCAGACACGTACGACCAAATCTGTCTTTTTGGTTTCTTTTCTTTTTAACCTAACTATATGACTAATTTCTTTTAAATATCTTTTGCCCTTGTCGCATTATATAATTATACTTTGTTGATTAATACGATTACAGTTTACCACCTTTTGGTTGACATAGCCAGAAGAAGCGTCTCGACTGGTGAATCGGTTAAGGCTGCTTAGCTCTTCATTAGCTCTACTTAGTCGGCCGGACAAGAAGGTGATTTTTCACCTTTCCTTATGAATCATATATACCATTACATTCATAAGAAAAGAAAGTGATAAAAATGACTCATACACATCCAAATCATATATATCAGATTGGAATTAATCATTCTTACTTTTATTTTGTTTGATATGTTCTGATTCGTTCCAAAGATATAACTTGATTTTTTTTCAAAAGGGCTTGCCCCATGCGTACGGCACAGACAACCTCAACGAACTTTCTCCACAATTTTCTCAAAATCCTCGTGTAGCTCTAATCCTCTCTTGATCATAAAGTTTTATTTCTTTATACTAAATTACTAATGTACGTATATTTTCAAAAAATAAGTTTCTAAACAAAATATACATGTATATTTGATGCAGAGCACCAAAATTGAGACCTACCGATCCACTAATTAAGTAGCCCTAGGAAGATTCATACTCGGTTAGAGATTAATTAACGTATTCAACCCAAAATGTTGATTCGTTGCTCGATTCAACTGAATGAATGAAACTATATAAATGTTTAGACAAACCAACAAAATGTATTCAATGATTATACTTAGAAAATAAAAGGTTGTAGTCATGGGAAAGATACGTAAAGACTAATGAATATATACTCTTACGTTTACAAATACCTTTACAAATTTATAAACGTAATTAGGTTCGTAACAAATAAATTTTGTAGGAAAAATAAACAAAAGATGTTAATTAGAAGGATAATATATACTATTTTTCAATACGAAGATATGTATCACGTGGCCAACTTGTTTGTGCTACAAAGCAGTCAATAAGTTCATGCCACGTTATCGAGCAGAACATGTATGAACCCCAAGTGCACTCTTAAGCAAAATACAGTCTTACGTATCAGGAATTAACAGTTTCGACCATTAATAATTAATTTTCCAACTCTTTAATTATTGTTCTTAATTATAATTGGAAGTATATTTTTATTAAAAACTCAATCATCAATATTTCTAGCTAGCCATCAAAAATAAAAGTTTACAATTCCCCATACCGTAATCACAAAAAAACAAAATATACAAAAAGATTGCAAAAAAAGAAGGCAATTCGAATCAATATGAGCGACTATAGATAATATTTAATATTTCTGATCGCAAATATAAAATCTTATGTCTAGATTGATTATCTTTACACCAAAACGAAACGAAGATATTTCCAAAAAAACTATTAGGTTTGATGAATTTGTTACTTTAGTATTAAGCACATAATACGAAATTTTAAAACAAAAACAATATCTCTTATTGAGTTGTCTCTATCTTGGTACATCCCCCTAGCGAGCACCATCTCAATACTCTAATGATTCTATTATCAATGTTTTCAATTTTTAATTAATTTCACCAAAACCCTAATTATGCTGTTACTGTTTTGGATTTTCGTCCACCCAGTAAGAACCATTGCCTACCACACACAATGACACAAACACATTAATCCAACCTCAATCCTAAAACACAATATTGGATTTTGCTAGCAATGACAATAATGTTAATAATACTCCTGTTTCATTTTTGTTTTGTTTTGTTTTCCCTATAAATCAAAAGCAGTTCTAAACTCTTAGGTTTTGTCTTAATACATGTAAACAGTATAGTAGTTTCTATAGGTCCAAACTTTGAAGTCTGTCTTTTTGACCCCAGGATTACTGATGAAGGAACCACTTTGTGTCACCAATTATGTAACACTGAAAATGCTTTTTATCTAATGGAATGAGAGATAATAATGGACAAGTATTGTCACAGTAACCTACCTAGTAATTGAGTTTTTCTTTTGTGGGGGGTAGGAAAGTAGAATTGCATGGTTTGTTGCATGAAATCCTGAGGGAGCCCGTGGCTCAATGGCTAAAAACACATATTGTCCTGTGTGATTTGGTTTAACCTGATGGGTCCCAAGAGCCGTCTGAGGTTATATGTCTCATCATACCTAAAGCCAAAAATAATGATATATGATTCAACTGATCTCTCAGGTTTAATTTATAAGCTGGACAGAGAGAATTTGCAGATGCAGTGGTTGCTAAACAAGAGATCTAAAAGCTGATGTATGTATTATTTTGCAAGATCTTGAGTTTGACCAGTGGAAGATAATGATTAAAAACACATGACAAGCAGATCTAAAGAGGAGATCCTGAGCATGAATGAGAACAAAACTCTTAATGTACTTTATTTGTTAGTTTATTTGGGCTTCCCTGGTGTCAAAGATTGCATTAGATACTGGAATTTTAGCATAGATATGGAATGATAGAAGAAGAAACCAATCATGAAACCAATAATGCAAAAGCTAGAAAACTTAATTTAATTTCACCCAATTTAATCTCAAAATCGTAAGTAACAAACATCAAATATATTGGTTTTACAATAACAATGTTATTATCAGTGGCTTAGTTTAATCAAAATCTAATGGGAGAGAGGAAGAGCTCTCTGATCACAAAAATGATCTCCCTAAAATGAAGCTGAGAAGTTGTCTAATGTTCAGACTTGTGTTTTTAATGCCATATGAGAGACGCAATAAACTAGGAGCAATGAGGAACCTTCATATCATATTTCCTATAAACTCTTTTTTTTTAATACATGAATGGAAAAATAAAAAAGCTGCCCTTTCACACGGATAATGGTTTCTAATTCTAGAAACAGGTTTTGAATATTATATAGTTCCTTAAAACCTTTTTTTTATATATATTTTTGAGTTCATTCTGCAACTACTTTTTGAGAGAACATGTTATATTATTATCTAATTAAGAGTTATGTCTAGAGACTTGCCTTGCCTATTTAAGCACTCATCATAATGGTTGACGAAGATGGGCCAGCACTCAACTTCTCGTTCTTCTTCTTCTTCTTCTCTTTGTCTGTTTCCTCTGCACGTTTTCAGTTTCTGTCTATAGAACACAAAACCAAACAAGTCAGAGGGGAAAATAAAAAGTTTTCATAAATTTGTAGTTCCATCAGAAAAAAAATCATATATACACTCTTGTTAAAATTTGTCTCATATTGTGATGTGGGCATTGTTCATTTGGGTTTCTCTTCTTCTCATAAGTATCACTCATTGGGTTTATACTTGGAGGAACCCTAAATGCAGAGGGAAGCTTCCACCTGGTTCCATGGGTTTCCCATTACTAGGGGAGACTATCCAGTTCTTCAAGCCAAACCAAACTTCAGACATCCCTCCTTTTGTCAAAGAAAGGGTTAAGAAGTAAGTGTCTCTTATATATTCTCTCATTCAAACCAATGTGATTAATTAAAAATGCTTCAAAGGTTCTAAAAACTCTTGTTAATACTTGCAGGTATGGCTCTATTTTCAAGACCAATCTCGTGGGCAGACCAGTTATCGTATCAACAGATGCTGATCTGAGTTATTTTGTGTTTCAACAAGAGGGTCGTTGTTTCCAGAGTTGGTATCCAGACACTTTTACAAACATCTTTGGGAGAAACAATGTGGGTTCACTACATGGTTTCATGTACAAGTACCTTAAAAGCATGGTCTTGACTCTCTTTGGCCATGATGGTCTCAAGAAGATGCTTCCTCAAGTCGAAATCACTGCAAGTAAGAGATTAGAGCTTTGGTCAAATCAAGATTCAGTAGAGCTCAAAGATGCAACCGCAGGCGTAAGTTTTCAGAAACAGTCACTTTACTGTTTCAGTTATAATCCTATCATGATTTATTCCTTGTTGCTAACATGTTGGTATCACATATGTCATCAGATGATCTTTGATCTCACCGCAAAGAAGTTGATCAGCCATGAACCAGACAAGTCATCAGAGAATCTCAGGGCAAACTTTGTTGCTTTCATTCAGGGATTGATCTCCTTCCCTTTTGACATCCCAGGCACAGCTTATCACAAATGTCTACAGGTAAGTGTCCATATTTATTTTGAATACCAAAAGTCATTCTTCAAGCATTTCCATATTGGTACTAATGTTTGAAGCTGTCTTGCAGGGTAGGGAAAAGGCAATGAAAATGTTGAAGAGTATGCTTCACGAGAGGCGTAAGAACCCACGGAAGACCCCAAGTGATTTCTTTGATTATGTTATTGAAGAGATTCAGAAAGAAGGGACAATCCTGACAGAGGATATTGCACTAGATTTGATGTTTGTCTTGCTATTTGCCAGCTTCGAAACAACATCTCTCGCTTTAACTTTAGCTATCAAGTTTCTTACGGATGATTCTGCAGTCCTAAAGCGTTTAACGGTTAGTCAGAGGTTAAACACAATAGATATCTTACCAAGAAGTGACAACTTTCTGGTTTATAATAGAAAAAAACTAAACTGTGTTCATCTTCATCAGGAAGAACATGAGACAATTCTGAGAAACCGAGAAGATGCAGACTCTGGACTTACATGGGAAGAATACAAGTCAATGACTTACACATTTCAGGTTGCTTAAGATTTTTGATCAAAGTATGATAATTTCCTAAGTTTTCAATACAAAAATTCAGCTGACTAAGTCTTAAGTAAACCTTGTATGCAGTTCATAAACGAAACAGCGAGACTAGCAAATATAGTTCCTGCAATCTTCAGAAAGGCGTTGAGAGATATAAAATTTAAAGGTATGATATAAAATAAACAATAACATTCTCAATGATTTAAGTGCCTATTTTTATATTATCATTAAGACTTTTGTCAATGGTTACAGATTATACCATTCCAGCCGGCTGGGCGGTGATGGTCTGTCCACCAGCTGTACATTTGAATCCAGAAAAGTATAAAGATCCTTTAGTCTTCAATCCATCAAGATGGGAGGTGAGGTCAAACCTTCTGAGTAACTTCTACTCCAAGTAAAACTGAAAACATTAAAAAAAAAATAACAAAACTAATCAACACAAGAAATTGATGTAATGCAGGGATCAAAAGTTACCAATGCATCAAAACACTTCATGGCCTTTGGTGGCGGTATGAGGTTCTGTGTTGGAACAGACTTCACTAAATTGCAGATGGCTGCGTTTCTTCACACCTTGGTAACAAAATACAGGTTTGTAAAGGCTAACCATCTTAACAGTACTCTTCTATATATAGTGTTAGATTCAATAAGACTGATTTTGATTCTGGCCCTTGGAATTTCTCAGGTGGGAGGAGATCAAAGGAGGTGACATACTTCGAACCCCCGGATTACAGTTTCCAAACGGTTACCATATCAGACTCCATAAAAAAGAGACTAGAGAATGTTTAGGATAATATATATGTTATACATTTTCTAAGACTACAATCATCTTTGAAAAAAAAAAAATCAAAGTTTAAGATGTGTCTTAGGTTTTTAAGGCTGAGAATCAGCTACAAAAGGTGAATACAACAATTTTGTTTTGCAGCTTCTGTGTCTGGTCAGAAACTGTAATAATGTATAGTTATTTGATCACAAAGGGGGCATGTAAAAGAAATCAAGTGAATGGTACTACTTAACTCCTGAGATGCATCAGGAGATTAATTTCTCGTCAAGTTCTGATCAATTCCTACATGTGAATTTCCTAAAACAGTGTTTCGATGCACAAATCAGTAGTTTGTATAGCCCTCCAATCTATAAAGCTTACACAAATGAAAACTCTGAGATGATGATGAAAAGTACTAATTTTGGGTTAGTTTCAGTAAACATACCTGCAAGCTTTTCTTCGATTGATCGCCGCCAGAGCAGAGGAAGCCACTAACCACAGTTCCCCTCTCGGTGTTCTGCTGACGTGTCGACTACTTCTTCTACCGGTCGCCAACTAATTTTATACATGGTGATGATGTCCACACCATTATATTTGTTAGAATTTTTAATAGTCTAATGAGTATCGTCACAAGCCCAACATTTACATAGCCCAATAGATACATATCTTTCAAAAATACAGTTTCGTAAAAGACATATACATAAACCCGCACATAAATCACATCCAGTTCAATTGTAGTTAGAAAGAGAGCAAAAAATACAACAGTTTTGAAAAGATTGTCATGTTTTTTTCTACTTCAACTTTTTTTTTACAGTAATGATGATTAACAAGACCATTTGGAAGTAGGATAACAGTCTAGGCGATGGCACCATTTGCAATGCTTGTTTCCATTCTCTCCTTTGAGCAGCATCACCATCCCAACTGTTAACCCCGCTATTACAAATACGGCGGCAACAAATAACAACATGTACTGGCACGGGTTATACTTTGATCTGGCACGGGCACCATACTGCGAAGAGTTACGGGACTCTTCCCATCCGAACTGAGGCCGGATCAGTAGTACAAACCCAAGGAAAAATCCGGTTAAGAACCCACCAATGTGAGCAAAGTTGTCAACCCAAGGAAGCAAACCTATTGCCAAATTGATTGCTATGATGAACAAGATTGTGAACAGAGCAGCCAGCTGGAAAATTTCAGAAACTCATCAAGTCAATGCAACAATGTTTCATTTCCCGTTAATGTTTGCATCTTGAGAAAAAAAACAAGCTAATCATATGCTACCTTGTTGGCGTAGATAGTCCAGTTGATGAGAAGCTCGGATAACATTGCTCCCATGAGTCCAAGGAGAGCGCCCGAGGCACCAACTGAGATGCTATTTTGAAGGAAGAGAGCTGAGAGAATGCTTCCGCCAAATCCCGATATCAAGTAGACGATCCCAATTTTTACTGCACAGTCATTTTAAAAGACATTATAAATACATGAACAGAACAGGAGAATAAGAGGATTGCGGGTAATAAGAAAGGCTTACTGAAGCCAAATTGCTGCTCAAGGCGGATACCAAAGAAGATCACATTAAACATATTAGTAAAAAGGTGAAAGACACCGGCATGGAGCCACATAGAAGTGATGAGCCTCCATTTTTCATTGTCTTGCACGACTTTCCTCCATTCCAAAGCTCCCATTTTCTGCAATCTGAAAAATCATCATCGAGTCCAAATCATCACATATGGATAAAGCATGGAATCACAACAATATCAAAAGTTATAGTCCCCATTGCTATTGAAGCTCATAATCTTAAATCCAACCATGTTCGCAAAGATACGAGTTAGATTTTGGATTCACTTGTCGTTTGACCAAAATCTTGTTTTGTAGATAACAGAGCACAAGGCCCCTAAAGGGGGCAAAGAACAGAGTTTGTTTTGAGTACGACATGGTATGAACAGAGTAATTGAAGCAACTGTAGATACCAATGAGGTTTGTGCATCAGTAACCCGTAATGGGGCAAAGAGATCAGAATCCTTTCATAACATTTTGGAAGAAATAGGGACAATATTGAGACCCACAAGTTTGAATTTGAATTCTAAGGTATGAAAGAGTCAAATTCAATACTAAAGATTAAACAAAAGATACCATTAAAATACCACACAAGCCTGAACCTGATTTGTAACTTATAAGGCAGTACATGATTAGACTGTCAAAGTCTTGAAACTTCGGGGGAAAAAAATTGAGTTTCTTGGGGCTTTTGGAATTAGAAGACCAAAAACATAGAATTTCTGAGTTTTTAGAGAAACTTACGTTGAAGAAGATGGGCCTAAGAGAGGGTTTTCTCTGAGTGGCTGAAACGAGAACCTACGGAGAAACTTGGCCACGCAATCTCCGTTGGTCGTCTTGGGGCAGTCGTTGATGAACATGACAACGATGAAGACGGCCACATTAGCAACGACAATGGTCGGAGTCAGCCAGGACGTCCACTGGGTGTCCCCTCTATGTTTCCTACCTCTCTCCATATCTCTACTGGACATTCCCTCTCTTCTCTCGTCGTATAAAGAACAGCACAACTGGTGTTTTCTATAAATAGAAAACACGGAATGAAATCAACGGATCAAAGAAGATGAATAAGTGGAAGAATAGATTGAGACAGCCAGATAGAGACAGGATACATGAAACAGAGCATCTATTATCAGAGATTCCGGCAGAGAGTTTTTTAACCTTCAGTTTTCTTCTCGATTTCTCTGTATCTAAAGCTGGATTTGGAGAAACTCAACCGTTGAATCGGTGGTTTCCCAACAATAAAGTGAAGAGCTTTGATGGTGTCAATGGCAGCTCCTTGAAGATATTTTCTTCCCTGTTAACTTTCTGATAAAATCTCAGACCTGAGAGGATATAAATCAGACGTGAAACCACTAAGTAATATATTGATTCTGTCTGTTATCTTCGTAATTTCTGGTGTCTGATTTGTTAATAATGAATGTGAGAGACAAAGTCTACGGCCAATGTCAATAAGGAATATTAATAAACTTACTGTATAATATATAGATTCTACATATTGTGTGCCTCCACCATCCATTTTATTTACCTGACAAAAAGAAACAGATCCAGTCAAATAAATAAAAAACTGATTTTGATGTTTACAGGATCAACGGGAGGAGATTAAACAATCCAATATATAAGTCTGTCACCACAATCAATGGTCAATCAAGTATAATTTAGCTTCAAAGATTCAGTTTTTAGTTGTATAGCTTCTCCACTACACTTGATCATGAAATTTTCTTTCAAGAATCATTCAGAAGCAGCTCAAATCTAGAAAACTTTACTACCAATAAAATTCATTTATGTATCTCTGAATGTAGAAAGCACAAAACTTGAATACACACATGCACCAAAACCTGAATGCAAAGAAAATAGTTGACAGATATATCACCAAATGAACAGATCTGTACATATCTTAACAATTCCAATCTGAAGAGTAAAATAGACAGATGAATGAAGCGATAAGGAAAAAAGTGGCTTTCATTACTCAAGAGCTTGCTTTCATACCCGGAGGATTGTTCAAAATCTTGGTGGTCCACCTGCGCAAAAAACATTCTTGTGTAGATCAAATGTTGTCATATGTAACTCCTGGACTGTTAGAACAGACTACTTCAAACTTAATCTATAAATGCTCTGAGAAAGTTATATGATGTAAACCCCACAATTCTAAGAAAGCATATCCAAAAAGCTTTTCTCCAATCTACCATCTGATAACATATCCATAACCATCTTTATAGTCGAAGCATCAGCAGCGAACCCACTCCTCTTCATTTCTTCGATGAGTTCTGCTGATGTAATCATGCCACTACCTTGGAGATGTGCTCGGATTAGAGTGTTGTATGTACGATCATTTGGCGCATGCCCATCCTCTTCCATTTTTCTAAACAATTTCTTTGCTTCAAAGAGTGACCCTTTCTTACACAATCCCACAATCATTATGGTGTATGTCTTAACATCAGGCATCACTCCTCTAACAGGGAGGCTACAGAATAAATCCCAAGCATCATCGACCTTACCAGCATTGCACATCCCGTGAATGATGATATTAGAGATACCAATATCAAGGTCCATCTTACTCTTCTCTATTTTTTCAAAAATTTCCAATGCTTTTTCTAGCTCCTCATTGTCACACAACCCATCTAGCAAAATTTTGTAAGTCACGATATTTGGAGGAACACGACGAGAAACCATCTCTTGGAAGAGTTCTTTAGCGATCTCAAGTTTTCCCGATTGAAAAAACCCTTGCACGAGTGTGTTATAAGTGACTGTATCAGCAACCACTCCTCTCATAGACATTGTGCGAAAGAGTTTAAAACCGTCGTCGACCCGCTTAGCCTTACAATATCCATTTATGAGGATGTTAAACGTCACAATATTAGGATCACACTCTTTGCTAACCATCAGGTCCAGCATCTGGTTTGCCTCGTCTAGGCGGTTCTCATTGCAAAACCCCTCTATCAAAGAATTATATGTAATAGTATTAGGAGATATACCTCGTCGAATCATCTCCTTGTACAGTTCTTTCACCTCTAGAAGCTTTCCCTCTTTCACAAAACTATTAATCAACGCGTTGAATATGAAAACATCAGGGGTAATTTTCCGTGTGATCATATCCCTAAGCAACTTCGCAGCATCGTTCCATCTACCGGCATTACAGAAGCCTCTTATCAGAGTGGTGTAGGTAATAATATCTGATTTGATCCCTTTCATTTCCATTTCATTGAAAAGGTTGAATGCATCGTCGAGGCTCCCGGCTTTACAAAGCCCATCAATGAGTATATTGTAGTTGGCTGCATCGAGCTTGATATTACTTTCTTCCATCTTTCTGAGCAACTCAATGGCCAAGGCAGTTTTACCGGACTTGCACATTACATTAAAAACTGGTCCATAGGTAACTTCAATGGGTTGACAACCATTTTCTACCATTCGTTCAATCAAAACCACAGCTTCAGACACTTTACCTTTGAGACAAAGTCCATTGACCAGAGTGTTAAATGTGGTAGTGTCAGGCTCATAACCAAGCTTCATGACTTTTCCCAAAACAGAATAAGCGAAACAAACTTGACCACGCCGACAGAAACAATTGATGACAATATTCAAAGTGTACAAGTCATACGCAATCCCATCGAATTCCATTTGCTTGGAGAGAGCTAAAACGAGATCATACTGTTTTGTTTTAGCAATGACACTAAACAATTTATTGAAATCAATGACAGTGGGAAGAGGACGAGACCGAAGCATCTCTTGGAAGAGATCAACAGCATTATCAGCCTTAATATTATCTACAAACCCATTCTTCAATCTCTCCCTATAAGAGAGATTTCGATTTCGATCACTGAAACCAGAAAAGTCTCGTTCGCAGCAAGAAAATAGCTCATTTCGGCAATGAAGGAGTGAAGCACATCTCAGAGTACCTGTCTCCAGGAGGCGAGACGGAACAAATTTCGAAGCTTTAGCACTCCATCACTGTATCATCAACAACTTCATCCAATTCTCAAGCTGAATCGTTCCTTCTCCAGCTTTCAGCACTCTGTGAAATTTTCAAACGAGCTCAGAGACTAAACCAGTTCAGTTTCGGAGAATAATATTATAGCCCATAACTTGTTCGATGGAATGCCTCAAAGAATTGCTGTCTCATGGAATCTAATGGGTTTCTCGCGGACGCTGGAGACGAGTGTGCGTATTTGTGCACTGGATGAGAGACTACTAGTGCTACACAGAAATTGAACAGAGAAGCTCACCGATAGTAATAAAATTAAGCATGACTCCGTCTTCAAGAACGAGATATTTGAAGCCTATAGAAACACGAAATTCGTTTCCTCCTATATCAAGCACTCACAAAGTCACTGCCGACGCAGAAGATGAAGACACCATTACTGTAGAGAAAGATCTCCATTAAGAAATTAGAATCATAGACACATTAATTAACTGAGAAAATTATAATATAATTATAACCCTCGTGGCCCTTTTATATACCCCGCTTAATTTGTCCTATAGTTGACTGTTGACTAAAAGGGACCGCATGAAACTATTAAACGACTTGAGATTCAAATTAAACAAATTTTTTTTTTACCAATTTCGTCAAAAGAGAGAGATACTTCTGTTAATTTCTAAAATCATCCATCGTCTTCTTCTCCATCTCTCTCTCTCTCTCTCTCTCTCTCTCTCTCTCTCTCTCTCTCTCTCTCATCTCATCTCATCTCGTTCGCTCGAAACCCTAACAATCCCAATTTCGTGTTCTCTGAATCGATTCCTTACCTTTTTATGGCGTAACGCTCTACCAATTTCAACGATATAGGTTTTTTTTTTTTCATATATAATTATTTGGAAGAATCAAATACAAAGAGAGAAAACAATGTCAACGGGGAATTCGTCATCGCTACCACCACCATCCTCATCTCCCGACGCAATAGATCCAGCACCGTTGCTTGTAAACGGAGAGGATAATGAAGGAAGCAACGGAGGAGGTGGGGAACGGAGATCTGTGAGGAGACAAGGTTTGAGAGAAGCCGCGAGGTTTCTGAGTCGTGCGAGTAGCGGACGTGTTATGAGGGAGCCTTCTATGCTTGTGAGGGAGGCTGCGGCGGAGCAGCTCGAGGAGAGGCAGAGCGATTGGGCTTATTCGAAGCCTGTGGTGGTGCTTGACATCGTTTGGAATCTGGCTTTTGTTTCTGTTGCTACGGCTGTTTTGGTTATGAGCAGGAATGAGCATCCGATTATGCCGCTTAGAGTTTGGCTTTTGGGGTATGCTTTGCAATGCGTCTTGCATATGGTTTGTGTGTGTGTTGAGTATCGGAGGAGGAATAGGAGGAGAACCAGTAGGAATACTCCACGGTCACGTTCTTCTTCTTCCTCTTCGTCTTCTTCTTCCATGGAGGAAGACGCTTTGGGTTCCAGGAGGCATTCAGATGAGCAGGACTTGTCTCTCGGACACTTGGATAGCGAAAGCAGCAGGTATGTGCCCAGATCAGATGTTTGCTTCGGGTATTTTGATGTGTATTTTGCCTCAAGCTTGTTTAGATTTCAAAATTACATATAAGTTGATACTTGCATGACTTGTGGGCTGTGGTGTGGTGGTCTTTTAGAAGTTCAGGCTCTTTACACTAAAATTGCTAATTTATATCAGCTATTGAAAGAAAATATTTGACCTGATACTTCTGGCTTAAAAGATGAAGTTTTGGTTGGGATTATCGGATTGCTTGCTTATGCTATGATCTTTTCTTACTAGTAGTGTGGTTTCTAATCTAAAGCTTTGTTCTGCACCTTTTCTTATCCTTATGTATCTTACACAATCTAATTGAGAATAAATGCAAACTGTAAAGAAAATTTGATGTAACCCATCAATTGTGTTGGGATGATTTCTTATTCCACTTACCGTTTCTAAAGCAGTGTTGCAAAGCATTTGGAATCTGCCAACACAATGTTTTCATTTATATGGTGGATCATTGGATTCTACTGGGTATCTGCTGGTGGTCAAGAGTTGGCACAAGAATCCCCACGGATTTACTGGTTTGTTCTTACCTTCATCTCTATGATTCGTAAGTATTAACCTATTCTGCCACTGAATGAGCTTGCTTATTTCAGGTTGTCTATCGTCTTTCTTGGTTTCGATGTGTTCTTTGTTGTCTTCTGTGTTGCGTTGGCCTGTGTTATTGGAATTGCTGTTTGCTGTTGCCTGCCCTGCATCATCGCAGTTCTATACGCCGTTGCAGATCAGGTCATTCTCATAACCAATTCATCTTTTGTCCTAAGCCGCCATATTGTGTTTTATGTTTTTTTTTTGTTTTAACATAACATGATTTAAAAAATGCAGGAAGGTGCTTCAAAAGAAGACATTGAGCAGCTCACCAAATTCAAGTTTCGAAAAGTAGGTGATGCCAACAAACACACTGGTGATGATGCCCAAGGAACTACAGAGGGGATAATGACCGAGTGTGGTACAGATTCACCCATTGAACATACTCTTTTACAAGAGGATGCAGTAAGTATACACGTTAACAGACAAATCTCTCCTCCTGGAAGAACAAATCCTGACTAGATTCTTATGATTCTGCATTATAGGAATGTTGCATCTGTCTGTCTGCATATGAAGACGGAACAGAACTAAGGGAACTTCCTTGTGGCCACCATTTCCACTGCTCATGTGTTGACAAATGGCTATACATAAACGCGACTTGCCCACTCTGCAAATACAACATCCTGAAGAGTAGCAACTTGGATCGAGAGGAAGTCTAGAAGAAAACAGCATTACTTGATCATGACCCACAACATCTGATTGATCATGAGACTTGGGGTTAAGGTAAAAAAAAACAAGACTGGGTTGTTTTTTTAGATGTGATGCATTGTTTGTGATATGATAATGATATCTATACAAATTATTATACTTCTGTTTGTTTTTGGTTTGGAAATTAATCAGGTCTGTACATCTGTATCTATCTTGTTCCACTTGAAACCAATGTTTTGTATTGCCTTTTTTCTCAGTCGACCTCAGAATTGTTAGAGGTTTTCATCGTCTTAGATAGTTATGTGTCGATGAAGTCTATGAAGATTTTGATTGTTAATCTGAGAGTTCTTTTTTCCAGTTTGTTATTTAGTCCTCATGCTTAAGTAAAGGTAATTCTGACACTACCAGGCATCACTTCTAGACTTCTAGCTCAAACTCACCATCACACTATTAAAATCTGAAAACTGGAAATTAATGTAAACCGAATTACATAACAAACCAAATCGGGTTAGATTTTTATTTGGGTGTATAATTTAGACAAAATTTGGACATACAAGTCAAATTCGAGTCAGCGCCTGAAGTGAAGATTCGAACAAAACAAAGCAAGAGAAATCAGATTTGAATCAGAATTTTACCGGTTTTCTCTTCAGACCCGGTTGTTTTGTCCGGTTTGGTCAAATTAGTAGCCGAACCGAACCCTTTATTATCCAGAAACTGGAGACTTGGGAAGAGAGACGCAAGTGTTTGTTCTCTTCGTATCGTCGTCTCATGGAGCGTATTACCAGGTGCCTTTCTATTTTATCTCCTCATCTATGGTTTCAAATACGACCATTTGTTTTCATGTTCTCCTACTATTGCTAAGCTACAATCTTTCTCAGCCCTTACTATCTTATCTCTAGTTTTGATATATATGTTGGCCATTTAGATTCTGGGTTAGAAATTGTGAGTCTCGGCCTGATTTCTAACAATGTTTTGGAGGGAATAGAGTGGTTTTTGCTGTGTATAAGCTGTCACATGCTGAAAAGTTCGCTTGTTGGATGATGATGCTTTTCATGCCCGCTAAGTGTTCGACGAATTGCCTCCTTATTGGCTTGTTTCTTAATATTGCTTGGCGTTTTGTAAACTGATTCCTATTAGATATATCTTATTTGATATTTAGTATTATTAATAGATTTAGGAATTTTCAGTAGTTGGTCTACTAATTCAGCAAAGCTGATCTCTTTTTTGATTTAGCCTTTTAGGTGTATCTGCGAATAGTATGTATGTCTTATTGCTGTCTTATCTGAATTTCACGAATAATTTGATCTGTCTGATGTGGATTACATGTAATTTGCAGGCTGTTCTGAGAAAACGCAGTGATAAAGAGGCTTCCTTTCTTGTTAGCAAGGGCACACTAGAGACATGGCCGCATCAGCTTCAACCCGATTCCTCGTTCTGCTCAAAGATTTTTCAGCCTTTAGAAAGATATCATGGAGTTCTGTTGCAACTAATTACCACCGCCAATCTCGTTTTTTATGCCATGTTGCGAAAGAAGACGGGTCTCTTACTCTTGCAAGCCTTGATTTGGGTAAAAAGCCAAGGAAGTTTGGGAAAAGTAAGGCGACAAAGCTTGAGGGAAGCTATGTTACTGAGATGGGTCAAGGTAAGGTAAGAGCAGTAAAGAACGACAAAATGAAAGTAGCGAGGGAAAAGAAACCAGCTGAGATAGTGTCGCCTTTGTTTTCTGCAAAATCCTTTGAGGAGCTTGGCCTCCCAGATTCATTGTTAGACAGCTTGGAAAGAGAAGGTTTCTCTGTCCCAACAGATGTCCAATCAGCAGCTGTCCCAGCAATAATCAAAGGGCACGATGCAGTGATTCAGTCTTACACAGGATCTGGCAAAACCCTTGCTTATCTACTTCCAATATTATCTGAAATTGGTCCACTAAGCTCCCACAGTGAAAGCGAGAAGAGGACTGAGATTCAGGCGATGATTGTTGCTCCCTCAAGAGAACTCGGTATGCAGATAGTAAGAGAGGTAGAGAAATTGCTCGGACCTGTTCACCGTAGAATGGTTCAGCAGTTGGTAGGAGGTGCGAACCGAATGAGGCAAGAAGAGGCCCTTAAGAAAAATAAACCAGCAATTGTTGTTGGCACTCCCGGGAGAATTGCAGAGATAAGCAAAGGTGGGAAATTGCACACTCATGGGTGTAGATTCTTGGTGCTAGACGAAGTCGATGAGCTTTTATCGTTTAATTTCCGAGAAGATATCCATAGAATACTAGAACATGTAGGAAAGAGATCTGGGGCTGGTCCTAAAGGGGAAGTCGATGAACGTGCTAACCGGCAGACAGTTCTAGTCTCTGCAACTGTGCCATTCTCGGTTATCCGAGCAGCTAAGAGCTGGAGTCACGAGCCGGTTCTTGTCCAAGCCAACAAAGTCACTCCTCTTGATACTGTCCAACCGTCTGCACCGGTGATTAGCTTAACTCCCACAACTGCCGAGGCTAATGGCCAGATTCAGACTACTATTCAGAGCTTACCTCCAGCGTTAAAACACTATTACTGCATCTCAAAACATCAACACAAAGTCGACACGTTAAGGAGATGCGTTCACGCCCTTGACGCTCAATCAGTAATAGCTTTCATGAACCACTCAAGGCAGCTCAAAGACGTGGTCTACAAACTCGAAGCTCGTGGTATGAATTCAGCTGAGATGCACGGAGATCTCGGGAAGCTAGAGAGATCAACAGTTCTAAAGAAGTTCAAGAAGGGGGAAATTAAGGTACTCGTGACAAATGAGCTATCTGCTCGGGGTCTTGATGTTGCTGAATGTGATCTGGTGGTGAATCTAGAGCTCCCAACGGATGCGGTTCACTATGCTCATAGAGCTGGGAGAACAGGGAGGCTGGGAAGGAAAGGGACGGTGGTAACAGTGTGTGAGGAATCACAAGTGTTTATAGTGAAGAAAATGGAGAAGCAGCTTGGTTTGCCTTTCTTGTATTGTGAGTTTGTTGATGGAGAGCTTGTTGTCACTGAGGAAGACAAAGCTATTATAAGATAAAATGTAATTTTTCTTCTGTTTGATGTAATTTTCAGATAAAATTCAGAAATTTGTCTTTCTTTTTTCCAATATCTGAAATATAAATTTTGTACTAGTAAGAACATAATAACCAGTGTTGAAATTTACAGTGTGACATAAATCTGTTATGGTCCAAAGAAACATTCGCAACTGAAAGACTTTGAGTATTAGCACAAATACAGACTTACGTATCAACTGGATTCGAGACGAAACAGCACGTATTTGAGATGTCAGCAAAACCAATTCCGGTATAACTTTGATTGAACCGGGTTTAATCGATAAGTGTTGGGTATTCTTTCTTTTGTCTCTAATCTCTCGGGTCGGGTCGGGAGTTTGCAATGCATTAAATGTGAAAATATCTGGGGTAATTTTCCTTGTGATCATATCCCTCACACAGTGACAGTGAAGATTGAAAAGGAACGATTAGGGTTGGGATGATGAAGTTGATGATACGGAGATGGAATCCTAAAGGTTCGAAGTTTGTTCAGCCTCCCCTGCTCGAGAGAGGTATTCTGAGAAATGCTTTACTCCTCCATTGCCCAAATGAGCTATTTTCTTGCTGCGAACGAGACTTTTCTGGTTTCAGCGGTAGAAATCGAAATCTCTCTTACATAGAGAGATTGAAGAATGGTTTTCTTGATAATATTAAAGCAGAAGATGTTGTTAATCTGTTCCAAGAGATGCTTCGGTCTCGTCCTCTTCCCAGTGTCATTGATTTCAGTAGATTGTTTAGTGGTGTTGCCAGAACAAAACAGTTCGATCTCGTGTTACATCTTTGTAAACAAATGGAATTGAATGGGATTTCGCATGACCTCTACACTCTGAGTATTGTGATTAATTGTTTCTGTCGACTTCGTAAACTCTGTTACGGTTTTTCTGTTTTGGGAAAGATCTTCAAACTCGGGTATGAGCCTAACATTGTCACATTTTCAACTTTGATTAACGGATTATGTCTCGAGGGCCGAGTTTCTGAAGCGGTGGGATTAGTTGATCGAATGGTAGAAATGGGACATACACCCAATCTCATAACCATTAACACTCTGGTCAATGGACTTTGTCTCAAAGGTAAAGTGTCTGAAGCTGTTGTTTTGATAGATCAAATGGTTGAAAATGGTTGTCAACCCGATGGAGTTACCTATGGACCGGTTTTAAATGTATTGTGCAAGTCCGGCAAAACTGCCTTGGCCATTGAGTTGCTCAGAAAGATGGAAGAAAGAAATATCAAGCGCAATGCAGCCAAATACAATATCATCATCGATGGTCTTTGCAAAGACGAGAACCTCGACGATGCACTCAAACTTTTCAATGAAATGGAGATGAAAGGGATTAAAGCAACTGTTATTACCTACAACACTCTCGTCAGAGGCTTTTGTAATGCTGGTAGATGGAATGATGGTGCGAAGTTGATGAGGGATATGATCACAAGGAAAATTACCCCAGACATTTTCACATTTAATGCATTGATTGATAGTTTTGTGAAAGAAGGGAAGCTTCCAGAGGCCAAAGAATTGTACAAGGAGATGATCAAAAGAGGTATATCTCCTGATACTATTACATATAATTCTTTGATAGATGGGTTTTGCAAGGAGAACCGCCTAGACAAGGCAAACCAGATGCTGGATCTGATGGTTAGCAAAGAGTGTGATCCTGATATTGTGACGTTTAATATCATAATAAATGGATATTGTAAGGCTAAGCGGGTCGACGATGGTTTTGAAATCTTCCGCACAATGTCTATGAGAGGAGTGGTTGCAAATACATTCACTTATAGCAGTCTTATCCAAGGATTTTGTCAATCGGGAAAACTTGAGGTTGCCAAAGAACTCTTCCAGGAGATGGTTTCTCATCGTGTTCCTCCAAATATCGTGACTTACAAAATTTTGCTGGATGGGTTGTGCGACAATGGGGAGCTAGAAAAAGCACTGGAACTTTTTGAAAAAATACAGAAAAGTAAGATGGACCTTGATATTGGTATCTATAATATCATCATTCACGGGATGTGCAATGCTAGTAAGGTGGATGATGCTTGGGATTTATTCTGTGGCCTCCCTCTTAGAGGAGTGAAGCCCAATGTTAAGACATACACCATAATGATTGGGGGATTGTGTAAGAAAGGGTCACTCTCAGAAGCGGACATGTTGTTTAGAAAAATGGAAGAGGATGAGCATGCGCCGGATGGTTGTACATACAACACATTAATCCGAGCACATCTCCTAGGTAGTGACATAAATACATCAGCTGAATTCATTGAAGAAATGAAAATGAATGGGTTTGCTGCTGATGCTTCCACTACAAAGATGGTTATGGATATGTTATCGGATGGTAGATTGAACAAAAGCTTTTTGGATATGCTTTCTTAGAATGTTGGTGTATACAGCATATAACTGTCCGGAGCATTGAAAGATTAAGTTGAAGTAGTCTTTTCTCACAACCAAGGAGTTACATATTTGACTATTCTGATCTACACAACAATGTTTTTGAGCAGATATATAGCTGTGCTTTAGTTTCCACATGTATTCAGATTTTGTGTTTATGAAAATTTGGATTATTATGAGATTATATACACTCAATGTCGGCTTTCATTGTTTTTGCCTTATAATTAAACAGATTGAATCCATTGAACTGAATTTTCTTATAATGAAAAAAAAAACTGATAAGTCATTAGAATCATCAACTTACCATTTTATTCATTAAAGTAAGAGAGACTTGTTTTGTTTGGGGTTGGATACATGTGGAAAAATAAAGCAGAGCTATATGTATGATTCTTTCTTTTTATATTTGAGTAATTAGAAACGGTAACTCAAAATAAAAGAGGGAGTGGATTCAATGCTTCTTCTGGTAACCCCATGGATTGCTATTTGCCCAATTCCACTGATCTCTGCACATCTCATCCACTCCATACATCGCCCTTAAAACCAAATCAATTTGTTTAGTAACAATTTAACCCCTAAGCTAATCATGTTAATTGTTAAAGTATTTACTTACTTCCAGCCAAGTTCTTTCTCAGCCTTCTCTGTTGAAGCATAAACTGCTGTTGCATCTCCTGGCCTTCTCGGACTCAGCTTGATCGGAATTTTCTGCAAATGTTTTTGATTTTACCATTTTAAGCAAACAATTACAAAAACTTTTACCCTTCTGCTTCTTATTAGCTGTTTTTTTTACCTTGCCCGAAGCTTTTTCAAAAGCTGAAACCATTTCTAACACAGACGTTCCTTGTCCAGTCCCTAAGTTGTAAGCTGTACAGCCTGATATTACAATATCACATGTCTGAGAAGAATCAATCAAACCAAACTAAACTCTATTAAATGGATGTAGACTTACCAATCTTTGGATCAGCAAATAGCTTCCTGAGTGCAGCGATATGGCCATCTGCCAAATCCATCACATGGATGTAGTCTCTTACCTGTTTCAACTTTCTAAAATGATAATCCATATCTCATATTATTCAAAAAAACAAAAGAATCCAAAACTAGCTTTTCGATATATCATCAGAAATATGAACCAAACTGAACAAGAGATTTTGGAATTTGATTTCTAATTTACCGCACTACCATCCTTGGTGGGATAGTCATGTCCGTAGACATTGAGTTCAGGTAGACGTCCAACAGCCACTTGTTGAATGTAAGGCATGAGGTTATTGGGGATGCCCTTTGGATCCTCACCAATTCTGCCACTCTCATGTGCTCCCACAGGATTGAAGTACCTCAGCAGAACAATTCTCCAGTCTGGTTCCGCTGCGTGAATATCTCTAGCTATTTCTTCAAGAAAGAGCTGCACAAAAGAAAGGTTGTGCACCCACCATTACTTTCAACAATTGAGCACTGTAACCTTTGTTAGTGCTTAAGAAAGGCTTCTTGGCTCAGGCAAGATTTGGAAAAATTTGAAGGTAGCAATCACAGTTGAGCCAACTTTTATAAAGAGTCACCAAAGGTTAAGGTAGTTTGAGGTTAAAAACTCGAAATTCAGATATTTTCAAGAGTGAATGTTTACCTTAGTACGACCATAAGGATTCATAGCCTTTAATTCAAAGTCTTCCATGCATGGAATCTTTTCAGGTTGTCCATAAACAGTGGCAGATGATGAAAACACCATCTGTATATTCCAACAACACATCAATTTGCATCCCCACCAATTTATATCCAACAAGAAAGAATTAAAACATTTCATAATTTTAAGAATCCTATCTAACCATTTTGCAGTTGTACTTTGCCATGGTCTCATATAGATTGATTGTTCCGACCAAGTTGTTGTCAAAGTAGCGGCGAGGGTTTCCAACACTCTCACCCACAGCTTTTAGACCCGCAAAATGGATCACAGCATCAAATCTGTTACCTCACAAGAAAACGAAAACAAGCCAAGGATCAGAGATCCAGAGAAGCTATGAACTCTACAATTCACATAATAATATTTGCAAACTTTGAAGGTAGGAATCTAACATACCTCTGCTTGGCGAAGAGTTTCTCAATATCCCCTTTGTTTCTTAGATCACCCTGCAACCAATCAACACAAAAAAACATTATTGTAAGTCTTCAGGCTATAGAGATAAGCCAAATTTCTTCAAGTTTTATTGTTAACCAAACAGAGATGAAAACACGAGAATTTGGAAAAGAGAATTTAAACTACATCAAAGCCACTTAAACATTTCAAACACAGAAAAGGACATGTAAAGAAAAGAATTCTTATAAACAAACCAATTGCCAAAAAAAACTTAAAGAACAAACCAAGTTATAAATTCACAGAGCAACAATTTGACCTCACAAACAAAACAACACCTTTATAGCACAAAGAGTAGACAACGAAGCAGTACTTACCAGATTGAACTCGAGCTTCTTGGAGAGATCAGGACCAACAAGCTCCCTAACCCTATCGACAGCTTCGATGACAGAGTTATCAAGATTATCAATGATAGAAACCTTAAACCCTTCTTTGAGAAGTTGAACAACGGTATGTGTCCCGATGAATCCAGCACCACCAGTAACGAGAATGTTCTGCTCAACTGAAGAACCCATTTTCAAAGACTTCAAGATTATCAAGAAACCCACTTAGCAAAACCGATTCTTTCAAACTAAACCCTTTTGGATAAAAGGAAAGAAAAGCGAGAGAGAGATCACCGAACAGAGCTAAATGAAGAAGAAGAAAAGAGAGAGAGGTTGGGTCCTTATTTAATGATATTTTTGTAGCTTTCTTGACAAGTTGATAAGAACGCACGCAAAGCAAAAAAATAGGAAAAAGGAGTGGGCTCGAAGATGTTTTTGTTGGTTTCTATAAAAAGGGCAGTGATGATCATGACAACGATGATCATCCCTCTTTAAGTGATGTGTGTGTGTGTGTATACGAGATATGATAGCTTCGATTCCTCAATTTTCAGTTACGTATTGATCGTGAAACTTTTGTTGTCTCTTTCCTCAGCAGATTTTAATAAATTAATTAAAAAGGAAATATAGTAATAAAGATAAGTCTTTGTTTTTTTTGGTTGCAATGACATTTTTAACCTATTATTAGAGTAAATTAGTCATTTTTAGGATAATTTTCTACTGTTTAAGATAAGATAATCATAATCTTAATGTCCTTTGTTAACCCCTATTTGTCTTATTACTGATCGATAATGATATAAATAACACGATAAGAATATGATAGTTACGTTGTTCAATCAACATTTCTCGTTTTTTTGTTTTGTTAAAGTTGTCCTAATCAATAAGAGTGTGATGACAGCAGAGATCCACAGGTAACTTTATGATCAAATTGATGACTGGTATCACAATAGGGTAGCTACAACTTGGGTACAATTAAAGTGTTTTGGTTTCTTTTCTAACAAAATAGATCGTAATATGCATAGATAGAAAATTTGAAAGAAATTTCATAACACGTATTTTGCATCAATTTGCAAGTAGGAATGGTAAATTCCTCTAATTTCAGAGCACATCATGTAATTTTTATTATTACTGTGATTGACACAAACTGCGGGTAAAATCTCTTACTTAAGAAAAAAAATGTGTTGTAGATGAGATTTTAGATCCGGATAACACAAGTAAGAACACAAAAACCCCACCTAAGATATGCAAAGCTATTATTCCACATGGGTTTTGTTAGCATGTCGTTTTTGCTTAAGATCAAAGAAACCCAGAAACCTAAATAAACATCTACATAAAGTAAACAAGTGTGATCATTTATTGTGTGCTTAACTGTCAAACTCATCAATCAATCTACCAAACGTTTTCATAATTCAGTTTGGTGTTACTTCGAGTAATTACTACCAACATCAAAAGTATCGGTACCTATCTTTATTGATTAAGTTCAGATACTAAACATCATCTAGACACTATAAAAGGAACGAATGTAAGAAAAGTACTGATATTCAGATGGAGCTAGCAAAGGTAAAGAAGTGAGTCAATTTACTTACCTGGTACTGGCTCCTAATAGGTGTATATATTGTAGATTTGTAGCCATAGCAAAGGACTACGAATAGGGTCTTTGAGTGGCTGGTACCTTTAGAAACTGCTACAGCCAAGAATAAGATGGATAAGTCTTTAGATGTTATGGAGTTTATATGCAGCCAAGAGTTGGATAAGTGTTTAGACGTTATGAAGTTTATATGCAGCCAAGAGTTGTGATCTTACAACTGTTTCTACGATTAACATCAGTTGAATTTGGGAGTGAGGTAGAACTCGGGATCTTGGAAAAACCTGGCGAGTGTCTCAGCCTTTTCAGAAGAGAGATCTGTGTTTGCTAAAATGTCTTCTTTGGATGTTTTAGCGATTGTTTCGATTGAACCTATTGCTTGGTATAGCTGTAACCAATGGGAACATAAGTAAGCACGCAGAATTCATGGTGCATTAACATGAATCACAAACAGGTTTAAGAGTTTGAAGTTGGAAATGTATAAATAGTATAAAAACTGAAAGTTTCGCACTTGACCAGCTCATAAGTAAAACATTACCGTGTTTGCATCATGCTTGTTAATGTTGGGTATGGATGTGACAAATCCGATGAAAATATCTGTGTCTTGCACAGTTCGCTTTCTCTTCACATGAAAGAAAAAGAAAAATCTTTTGAGATCTCCAAACCAAATATCGAAAGAGATCTTTAAAGCGAATGATCTTTGGCAACCTACCTCAGCCTTGAGTTTAGACGCCACCTTCTGTTGCTTACACACTGCAGCTCAAGTTTCAATCTAATCAATCACTCAAAGAACCATAGGGTATCCTAACTAACACTAAACAAAATGAGTCTTACCACCACGAGAGTGAGCAACTTTAACAATCTTCTCGAATCCCATCTCGGCATCAGTGACTTGTAAAAATGCAGGTTTCCCAAACTCCATCTCATATCTATAAAAGATTTATCAAGCTTCAGTTTCAGAAAGATAGATAAGCAAAACGGTGCAAAGTGAAATAGAATGGGTAGAGAACACTCACTGGAAGTAAGATCGCATGAAAGAATCACTCTGCTCTTTAGTTGAGAGTGTGGCAACAACATAAAGTTGAGCAAATTGTCCCTTCAGCCTCTTTACTCTACAAAGGTTAAGTCAAAGAAATCAGAAGACAAAATACATAGAGGAGACTAGAATAGAGAAAGCGAGAGAGAGCTTGACAGTATATTATACGGACCTACTGAAGATATTGGCAACATTGGAACAATCCCATTTTGTCACAAAAACAAAAGCAATAGAAACACCTCCACAATTGAAGATCAGATCCTATCACAGCAAACAAGTGAGTTCTTTAAGCTAGTTTTTAGACACAATTCTAAGAAGAGAAATCTAAGCAGAGAGGAAGGCACATACAGGTGAAATCGAGACAAAGTTAAGGCGGAAAGAGTTTGCGCGAAGAAACGAAGATATGAAACTGATGAGTGAAGGTTCTTGTTCATCTTTCCATGCGCTGCTCATTATACAAACACCAGCAGCATTTCCTGTCATTTTATAAAATCAACACATCATACTTATACATAGATTATTATATTCATCAATCCGAGTTCTTATCAAAAATCAAAACCAAGGTAGTGCTGTAGTAACATTGAATTTACGAAACAGGAGACTCATCACCCAAAGATCAGGGGAAATTTAGCAGTAATCAAAGCACACATTGCCTACACTATCACTTATCGACATTTCTAGAAATTGAGCGGATACAGAGTCGAATTCAAGTTTCAAAAAGAGTTTCTTAGATCTGAGACGAATCCACAAATATAGAAGGCGAGAATACTCCTGTGTCGTGTCTCCTCTGACATATCGACAAAAGTTGGCAAACCCTAGACTCCTTAACGATGGAGTAAAATTGGAGATTAGGCTCAGGGAAAAGAATGTACCTAGATTCACGAGAGATGAAGGAACTTGATGATTTGTTGAGACACTGTAGCTTGATCCCGCAGTCGCCATCGGCGAAGAAGCTCAGAGAATTTTTGAAAGACGAAAATATTTGGCGGATGACCCAAAAACAAAATCAAAAACTGAATATAATTAAAAAAGGAAAATAATGTAATAAACCGGGCTTTTTTTTTGGTTATCTTCTCGTCCAACATCGCTCTGACTTGGGTTCTCATTAACCGGTTCTGAGCTTAGTATAAAACTTAAGGATGTATGTTTCGAAAGCCAAAGACGCTACTCAGCATCACCCAAAGGCCTTTTTCAAACTAAAACTTTTTTACCTTCCGATGGATATCAAGAATCAAGATCATGTGGATGTGGTGCAAGCTTAAACCATGACATGACCACATCTGGATCAAAAGTTTTAAGTGTATATCCACATCATCCCTCATAAGGAAAATTTTCATAATTACAGGATTGGTTTGAGCTTTACATACTGTATGTTTAATTCTTGAAGTTTGCAAAATTATCAATCTTTGTTGGATTAAGAAAAGTAACTGATTTTTTTAGGAAGATATGTAGTACTATATAATGAGTAACAATGTCTTGATACCACTTACATGAGTACAAAAAAATATAGTGGAATCATTCATCCATTCCTCAATACATTCTCATTCTACTCTGTTGGTGCAAGACATGATTGTAGATTTCATCTCTTCTTTGCTCAACAATGCTTCAACAATAATCTGCAAATAAAACAGTGTAAAAATAATTTCTGAATCATCCAAGATTCTTCATAAACAGACGTTATAGATTATAATCTTTCTCTTTCTTTCTTTTTTACCTCTTGTACTCTATTTCCAGCTCGAGCAAGCAATTTGTATTGGTTCTCAAACATTGGAGCCATGTAAACCTACAAAGAGACAAAGAAAAATACCAGACATCTTAGATTCCCTGAATACATTGAAACTTTACATTTTTTGCTAAAGAAGTCACAACAGTGTTAAAATCTCAGAGGCTTGGTCTGTTAGATGATTTCGTGTTTAGTTTATGCATTTAGGCGATTAAACTATGTACCTGAAACGTTGGAGCAAGACCCGGGCTCAAGAAGAAACGACTTTTTGAAACTGATTGGATTCCTTCAACCTTTTCCAGCTCTTTGATCAGAGATTCCACATCAGGCCACTGTAGAAGAAAGTTTTCAGAACCCCGCAATAATGGTTTGATCAAAAAAAGTAACTTAAGGTCTAATACCTCAGTGTCGAGCTCAGCTGCTTGTAATCGTCCCCCCAACTGATCATTATCACTACCAACTACAGATTCCAAGGCTTCGGTTAGAGGATCAGGCTGCATAAGGACATCAAACGGGTTTACAGTATATCAAATGAGTAACCAATTGCTACAGGATCAATTTTTGAGAGGTCTTTCTCACAGTGATTTCTTTTAATGACAAGAAGATACGTTCAAGAGCAAAATCTAGCTGGTGCACTTTCGCTTCCACAATCTGATAACACCAAAAAGAAACGTTTGTCACACAGTTTTATTCCTTATCAGTGTTTACGATAGTTTGAGATATTACCTGACCAATCTTGAAATATGAAGCAGGGTCTAAAGTTGCATCCCATGAAACTTCGGATTGGTGAACCAATGCAGGGACACCTTCTAGCTGTTTCAAACAGACTTTTTAGTATTACACAACATACTTATTTCTGTTCTTGCGGGTCTATACAAGAAGCTACTACAAACATATAATAAACTCCGGTATAGTAGTACCTCACAGAATATACCAAAATAGGTAATTTTCTTGATGCAGCATTTCACAACATCCCCAACACGAAGCTTAGCCATAAGATTTCGTTTTTTTTCAACTTCCTCTTCATTTTCTCTCGGCCTCATTGAAAATATAAGCTTCCTTGAGTTTCGATTAGCCATAACAACATTCACTTTGATTTTCTGCATTGAGTTAAAATGTAAAGGGAGGAATAACAAGCATTTCCATGTTAATAATAAAATTTCAAGAAATTTGTTGTCAAACCTGGCCAACAAAAGATGACAAAAACTTCTGCTTTTCTCTGTCATATACCATAAGAAGATCTTCCAGCTTCATATCAGGAGAAACTTCTCCGCTGATCGTTGTAGCGACTTCAGAATCTAAGTTTGAATCTGGAGATGGAGCTTTACTCATGACATCTTGACCTCCAATTACTCCAAGGTTTTGTCGATACAATGATGGATCTACACCTTTTCTTCTTAACCATGATTCAAAAGCGAGAAATTTCCATTTTGCTGCTAGGTTCCGGTAGGGTAAAAAACCGATCAACGATCCATAGGAAACCTGCAAAAGGATTTAAATAGAAAAGAACACAATTTAATAAACAATGAGATGAAACCAGAAATGAGTACAGATCTTACTTACAGCGAAGCCTCTCGTGCTCGAGCTGATTAGCTCAACATCCGCTCGTAATTCTGTCTTAACTAGAGACTCTGCCTTATTCCAATCATTTTCCTATAAAAATCACACAAAACGAGTTTATCATATGCATCTTCTCTTATAAACAAATAAATAGTCAAAGACTGTTAGTTCTGAACCTCCAAAGACGATCTGGTAGGAGGGCCCTTGAGGTCAACAGAGACTTGACGCCCTTCATCATTCACGATTAACGGTTGTCCTCTGTTTGGAACTGACGGCTCTGCAGAAGACGGATCTAATCTATAACAAAAGTAACCAGTCAGTCAAAACTGGAAGAAAGGAGAAAGAAAGCACAAACCCTCAAAATCAAGATACTAAACCAGAATGAACCTTTGTGGTTTCCCTTGTAAAGAAGCTTCAACGATTTTTTGAGAAATTGGTTTCGAAGGAATTCTCTCGAGTAGATCACTGTTAATGCTTTTCTCCTCAGAGGATATCTCGCTATTAAGCTGCATTTCTTGATAAAACACAACAAACATATGAATCAGGTCCATGTTAGAAATTTGTTAAGAGTCTTTAGTTTGTCTCTATACCATTTGGAAGGGAGTTATTTTCTATCTCTGATGATTCCACATCTCCGCTATCTCCAACTTCCTCTCCTACATTTCCAGGTCCGGGCCTTGCTTCTGGCTTCTGAATCAAGTTAACTTCTATTTCTGATGATTCCACAGCACCGCTATCTACAATTTCCTCTTCTATCTTCACAGGCTCGGGCCTCGCTTCAGGCTTCTCCAAAAGAGTATACTGTGAATAAGTTCCATCTTCTTGTTCTCCTCCCTCCATAGTTAACCCATCAGAAAGAGTCTTTTCTTCCTCTTCTGCATCTACGTTTACTGGTTCCGGTTTTCTCAACAATGTCATGTCACTAAACCTCTCATTTTCCCTCTCATTCCTCATTTTCAGAGTCAGATTGGGTTTCAACCGCAACTTAGACTCCTCATCATCATCATTACTAACATAAAACGAACTCGGTTTTCTCAGTATAACATTAGGCAACCTCTGCACCTTTGGAGCAGCAACGGGAGCAGCAGTAGGCTTCTTCATAACAGGGTTTGGCTTTTTCATCACAGGCTTTTCGAATTTGACACCGTCTTTGGGAACAGGCTTTACCAATTTCAATCCGTCCAGTGAAGTAGATTTCTTCTTCGTATCCTTTGACCAATCCAATGGAATCTCTTCAACTTCAGCAATTTTACCCTTGTTCTTGTAGAAAGATTTCTCAATTTCAACGAACGTAGCCTCTGGATTCACTTTTCTAGCCACTATCTGTATAAATTTCACACATTAACATCAAAATTATCGGGTCTAGATAGAAATCCAAAGACATAAAAATTTGAATTTCATTTCAAAAATACTCAAAGAACCATTATGTACAGAATCTCACCTTAGCCAAAGTCAATTTCGGGTCTTCTCCGAGTAAACGTCCGAATTTGAGCTCCATTTGATCCCATTCGTTGAGCTTAGGCTCTTCCCTTTTCGAAGCAGAAACTAAAAACTTCTTCTGTTTAGCTAATAGATTATCTCGGTCTCTTCTCACGCTAACCCTAGCAGGAAACGAAGGGAAGTTTCCGGCGATAGAATAAACGGTTGCGGCGGCGGAAGCGGAAGAGGATAAGGCGAGAACGTCCATTTTCCGATTAAGCAGAAAGATAATGATTTATCCGAATGAGAATCATGGGTTCGAACAAAATCTCGACTTTTCGTTTCAACTCGTGTGAGACTGAGGCTCGAGCTATGGCTTCTCCACTCTCGCTCTATGTGAACTAAACTATTAATACAGAGTGATTACAGGGAGAGGAGAAATGGCTATGGCGGATGAAGAAGGAGCTTTATCAGTTTAGCTTTGCAATATATTTCGCTTCTTGGTTAAACCAGTGAGGAAATGACACGTGGTTGATGAAAGGAGCACCAAAAAGAAAAAAAAAGGAAAGCGATTTGCATTTTAACGTCTTTCCGTTCTTTCGTTCCATACATGAACAACACGTCGTTTAAGTTAGCCTGAACGTCAACCATTTCTCTCTCACACGACGTATAATCAGGAGGCGTTACGTTCGACCGCGGTTTTTAGTATACACTTGTAGCCTCAGGGACCATGGTTTACGGCTCCTCGGACAGTTTTTGGATTCTTTGAGGAATATAAAAATTCTGATAACGTTTTGTATTTTCACATGCTTTAGTAAGATTCTCGAGATTACCAATCACATCATTTGATGTGTAAATTTTTTTACTTTTTTTTGTTAACAATGTTTGAAGATAATTGGTTTTAAAAAAGAATTATTGCTTTGCTTTAGCTATTTATTATAATGGGACCAAATTGTGATATACATTTCTCTTGCAATCAAGTATAACGTACAATTTCTTTCTTTTAAAACTTTATTGGACGTAGATCATGCACATAATCAATACACGTATACACGTGATGTAATGAAATTTGTTATTATTTATGTATTCAGCCAAAAGTTGCACCAGAAAAGATCATCGAAGAATTGGTTCCATCATGTCACCTTTGAAAAAAGAATCCATCGAATCCATGAAAACTAGGTTCTACTATTTGGTTATCTACTATTAAATTATTTCACAAGAAAAGAAACAACAAGATGTAACCAGCATTCAACACGAGTACACATCTAGAAATGGGGAAATAAACATCTTTTACGGAAAACATTTTAAATAAATCTGTTTATGCTAGTTAATATATGTGCCAACACAATGGAACCTAACGGCTAACGCCCACAGTTTTTCCCCCATCTATAAATGTTATACAGTTTCAGCCTCTTTACAATTCAATTACCTCAACAAAGTGCGAATCAAAACACTTATTCCATAATCATTAAACACTAATTAGTAATTACACCCCAAAAGGTTTTCTACTTCTTGAATCTTTTACTGTAAGTACTGATATATATTTCCAATGGATGTCTATATATCGGAAGAGTATGTCAACCGCCGGAGAATGGAGAAAAAAGCTGCTTTCGTTGCCGGGAAAAACATTATGTTAGGCTCTGGTTCATCCAAGAAACCGGAGAAGAGAAATAGTAGTAATCCTCGGATGTCGGTATCTCGGCAGGAGAATGAGTTTTGGGTTACCGGCGGTGGTGTTTATGAGAGTTTTGTGTTCCACTGCTTCTCGCCGTGAAACCCAAACCGCTAGGGTTAAGTGTTCAAAACACATACGCAAGATCGCATATGCATGGGCAGTTTATTAGTTGTAGCTCTTGTATGTCTTGGTTTTAACATTTACTTAAAAAATTAGCAGTATGATGTTTTTCTTCTTAACAATGTGTTAACCGTTATTCACCAATCACAACTCTTTGGTTAACATGAAATCTGATTGATGAATCACAACTACACGATATAAAAATCAAATAAGATTTATGCCAAATAAAATTACAAAAACGACATGATTAGTTTTATATTTCAATCCTATCATAATTAGTAGTAACGATAATAAATACAATTTGAAAGAAAAAGAAAAATCTAGAAATATAAAACACTTTCGGTGGTTATGTTTAGATATTGCAGACTGGTTAAGATAAACCAAGATGTAATGAAAAAATGGGACTCGACCATAAACAAATATTTTTGGAAAACTGAACCAAAACAATTTCATAAATTTTAATGGATATTTCGGGAAAAAGAAATATTCAATCCAACCAAACCCTATAAAAAATTTTGGTTCTCCATTCAAATATCCGAACCGATTTGGACATAAAAAAAAAAAAAAAAAGGAAGTTCCTTTCGAATCAAGAACTCGGAATTTTTCCACACCAAACTAAGACCTAACCGGAGAAAACCAGCATTGGCACAATTACAGTATATAATCATATATCAAAAACCTTTGCAAGACCAAAAGTTAGAGAGGCTCGTCCCAAAAAAAAAAAAAAAGAAAAAAACCTTTTAAACGGCAGCGATGGCGGATCTCGTACCACCCTCGACGAGGGGACAAGTTGACGAGAAAGTTGATTACTCGAACCTCCCTTGTCCTGTTGGATATGACGAGGTCTCTAGCGAAGCTTTCGGTTAAGTATATATCATATATCGCTTTGCGGATCAAGATTTTTCTTCTTCTACTGATATTAACTTATTGAATTCCCGGATATCTCAATCTATTGGTTTCTTGATAAGTGTGTTGGAAAAGAGAAATTGGAGAAGTCAGATTATTCTGGCTTCCGTGCATGGTATTGTCGTGTTAGAGATTTAGCTGTCTTCTGTTTGTATTGGCCAAGTTCGAACACTTAATTTAGGCTTTGTTCTGTTTCGTTTCTAATTGTTTTCCACGAATCCTTTCAAGGTGGTCTTACGGGATTTTCTCATACAGTATAAACTATCTACTAGCTAGCTATAGTATGATTTAAAAATTGTTCAACTTGTCCGTATTTGATTCAGAGTCTTGGTTGTTTGATTAACCAGTTTTATTATTTCTGTGCAGAAGCTTTAAACCCGGGTTATTTCAAGGGTTTATCTTTCAACTACTGCCCAGCCTTTTTTGATGAAAAGTTTTACATCAGGTGATGGTTATGTTTATGTTTTACAGTCCTTTTTATTTTGTTTTGGTGTTTCTCTTGTTTATTAATTCTTGTGTCTATAACAGTTCAACGGTAGTGCCAGTAGCACTTTACAAGCTTGGTGCCTACTACTTTAACACAAAGGTATATTTGGAAATCAAAAGAATGACTGTGTTATTGGATTGTTTAATTAACCTTTTCTTTTCTGTGTGTTTTTGTTGCAGCTAGAGTTTACTGGCGATGTTACTGCTGATACATTAACTGTGAGAGTGAAAGCCGTTATAACTGATAAGTTGATTGTGTGGGCAGATACACAGGTAAATATTGCAACGATTTTCTAAAAAAGTGGTCTTGGTGATCGCCTAGCACTCGACGACTGTCTTGACCGCCTAAAATCATAGATATCTCATTTAGTGTATTTTACTAATTTGAACAACCGAAATTTAAATTTATAGTTTTTATTTTTATCTCCATATTCGTAGTTATAATTTATAAACTAGAGGATGGCCCGTGCTTTCGCACAGATGATGTTTTTTTAAACTAAAGATATAATTGGATTTGTATTAATATTTGGTATTCAATAGTATAGGATAAACATAATATTCTTGTATATTTTAATTTTAATTCTATAGAGTTAAATCGCGTGTTGATTTGTATATTTTAACTGTATAGAAAGTAAATAATATATACAATAGTAATTAGGTCTGGTTTTAATATAAGTATGTATATATTATATTTTCCCTAAACCGTTAAATTTATCAATCACGGACATTACCTCAACGGTGT